CCTTGGGCGACTGTCTGTGTGAAGTTTGCACATTCTCCCTGTGTCTGGGTGCTCTGGTTTCTTCCTGCAGTCCAAAGATGTGCATGTTAGGTCAATTGGCCATGCTATATTGCTCAGTGTCCAGGGATGGGTGGATTAGCCATGGGAAATGTAGGATTTGGGGGTGGAGGTGGAATGCTCTTCAGAGGGTCAATGTGGGCTTAATGGCCAGCTTCCACACCGTAGGGATTCTGTTTGATAAACCATGTTTGATAATTTCTATTTGATAAACCATGGTATTCAGCGATTCTTACCAACAGCATTCATCAATAAAAATTCTTATGTATTTTAGATAAAAATGTTCCTGATGAAATTCAAAATAGTTTGGTAATCTCCAACATGTTTCACACGTTCACTGCTGCAGGAATCATTCTTCATTATATATGAGTTTCTGAAAGCATAAGTGCCAGGAGATCATTCACAAAATAGAGCAAAGACATTTTGGGTTTTAAAAATGAGACATAAGAGTGAAGAAGCATTGGTAACTCTATATGCATTGGCTAAATGACAATCAAAGCACTTTTTTCTGAAGAAGGGTCCAGACTCGAAACGTCAGCTTTCCTGCTCCTCTGATGCTGTTTGGCCTGCTGTGTTCATCCAGCTCTACACCTTGTTATCTCAGATTCTCCAGCTTTGGCAGTTCCTACTATCTCTGGTTGAAGTCAAATAGCTTTTTGCTATCCATGACTTTTTTCCAGTGTTCTTCATAATTTACTAGACCCATCAGCTGTCTGTAAAGCAGTTGGTGGGTTTTAATATTTACTTTTCCTGTTCTTTCAACCAACTTTTCCTTCTTGTGCACATACTGACTTTTCCTTTCAGCTCGAGAAAAGTGCTGACAATAAAAAAGGACTTCTCCAGTCTGACCATGTTAGCTATGATAGAAGTGTCACAAGTAAAATTTGTTTCTCAGACCATGGTCAGTTCACTATATAATTCCAGTTCCTGAGTGGACATATTTAGCATCCATGGATTCATAACTTCAATAAATTAAGTCCTTCAATTAATGGTAAGTCAGTATGATTATTTGTTAGTTCCACACATTTACCTTTATGCTTCCTTGAGGACAGTGTTCTTGGTCATTTCCTGAGGGATCATCTGTGAAAAGAAAGAATCCAGATTGCACTGGTTTCCTCATGCCAATGTCTTGATTCAGAGTGTGAAGAAATTCTTCCACCGTGGTAGATGCATCAAATCCCACAACCTATATATTCAGACACAAGAATGTTACAGTTAATGAAGCTTCAAAATGGCTAAGCAGCATTACAGTAGTTTGCCTTGTTTTGGTGAAAGACTCATAATTTAAAAGATAATTAACATACTAAGTTATTAAAACAATTAAAAATATAATCAGTGCTTTAAACATCAATCATGTTTTTCACGTTTTTTTCTAAACCATAAAGTAATCATTTTATGTCTAGTGAAATTCCATTGTTACATTTCATTTTGTTACCATAATCCAATTCTTTGCCCTCAGTTTGATTGGAATTCTATTGGAGCAACAAGGTTCAACTTTGATAAGAACTTGTTGACTTCCAAACATTTGAAATAATCAGCTCTGACTGGGGTTTCTTCAGTATTGCCATGCAGAAATGTATGTTTTTAAGTCCCAACAAATAATTTTTATTAATTTGCAATGCAATATTCAGGACCATAACTTTTAAAACTGGTTAAATAATAAAGAATAACTTTACATTTATATTGCATGTCTTTATCATGTTATCACGATGCCTTGCAGCAATTCACATCCAATAAAAGTCATTTTTTTTTAAACTGATGTTATTCAAGATGCCTACTTGGTATGTGCCATTCATGAAATGTACAGGAATGCTGAAAGGTAAGGAATGATGATAAGGATTTCTCAAGAGGATTGATAGGATTTCCATTCTAGAAGGCTTTGATACACGATCACCATTTTTCTCAGTTCTCTCCATTGACCGTTGGCAGTATATGGCATACTTTCCTACTTCCGTCCTGGAATTTGTTAATAGAATCCAGTTAGGTGTTTTTATTTTGTCTGTGTTACAATGTGAAACTGTACAGTTCAATAACAAAAATAAGCAAAAATTCAGAAATCAATTTAAATTTCTCGCTGGTACATGCATTTCTATGCTATGCCTATTTATGAGATATGGTAATGGTGCAGTGAGTGGATGCGCAGAATATTCAGACAATAATTGACAAACACATGCAGAGTCCATAAATTGCTGTTCATTTTATTCTGTAATAATAGTGAATACTGCTCGCAACATGATTATTTTTAATGCAATTATTTCCAAGACTGGGACTTGAGTGAATAGAACAAGCAACAGTATATTTTCATAAACAATTTTCTTAAATAATTGTGGAACAACAGCACAAGGACATAGAATGAAATGTATATGAGAATGCGTGAATCAATGCCAAATCTGGTACGGAAAGAAACAGAGAGAGGGAAAGAGAAATTAGATTTGGAGAGAAAAAAAGAGGCTGAAATGAAAAGTTGCTTTTGAAATTCAATATATTTCATTCTGACAATAAAACCTAAAAGGAATGAAACATGTCATTTAAAACTGTTCCTTTTTAGTGCCTTTGCAAGTTTGATGAACAGTAATTAACACAGCACATCATTAACAGCCTTAGACTGATAAGGAGATGCATGATGAGTTTTGTTTTCATGTATTATGCAACAGCAGGAATCACATATCAATCAATTCATTTCAATGTCGATGCAAAGATGTATTTTTCATAAAGACAAAATACTGCAGCTGCTGGAGATATGAAACAAACACAGAAAATGCTGGAGAAACACAGAAAGTCTGTCTGCATCTGTGGAGAGAGAGGTACAGAGTTAATGTTTCAAGTCCAGCATGATTTCTTCAGTTCTGCTGACTTTCTGCAGCATTTCTGGCATCAAGTGTGGAGTGAATGCAGGGTCAACATTTCAGGTCAAGTGACCCTTCCTTAGAACTCCGTTTTCTTTCCACAGATGTTTCCAGATCTGCTGAAGTTCTCCAGAAACTTCTGTTTTTGTTTCAGATTTCCAGCATCTGCAGTTCTTTGTTTTAGTCTCCCACATTTTCTGTGTTTGACTGTGTTTTCGTAATGCTAGCAGTGGATCAGCATAGCTCAAACAGTAACTTTTGGGTCTGTACATTTAAGTTTGCATCTGTCATTGTCTCACATTGCAATTGATAATGATAAGTGTCATTTATCTTACCACCAGTATTTATACTGAAATTATTGACCATCTTTACTTTGTAGCTTCTTACGTACCTAGGTTCTGCATTTTGCTGTAGATGATGTTTGAGCAACCAAAGGAAAGGATGCTGAGGAAGGAAAAGGCCAACACACAGAGCCAAGAACTGCCACCCCTAAAAAATATAAAGGTTAATTTTGAGAGGTTTTTTTGTGGAAAGAACGTTAAAAACTATTAACCATTTCTCTGATTAGGCCTACTGTACATGTTAGGAATTGGTAAAATGATCACAACACCATAGATATCAGAGCAGAATTATGGCATTCAGCCTATCAAGCATGCTCTGTTATTTGATCATGGCTGATATTTTTCTCAACCCCAATCCCTGCCTTCTCGCCATAACCTTTGTTCCCCTTACTAATCAAGAACTTATCTATCTCTGTCTTAAATAAACTCAGCGACTTGGCCTCCACAGCCTTCTGTGCCAATGAGTTCCACAGATTCACCACCCTCTGGGTGAAGAAATTCCTCAGAAGTGCTCGGTCTTAGTTAAGGTATTCCTCACTGATGTGCAATCATTTTTTTTTTCAAAATTTCCACACATTTGGAACTTTTATTATTTGGAATTTGATATTTAATTTCAATATTTCACTTAACATTAAGCTAGAATCAGTTGACTTTGCTTTAGTTTAATCTTTTATGTTAATAAATTTGATTCAATGTTTTAATCAAACAGCATCCTCTTGAGACTTAAATCACTTAGAATAGTGTAGATAACATACTAAAGAGACTTCAGATACATCAACTTGGTTGGATTTGAACTCAAGTTATAAAAGAACAAGATGACAATCCAATGCACCACCCAGTCCTCATGCATTATATTGTTTTGAGTAAGTAAGTTGCATTTTATATCATTTTCATCAGTATTTTTATATAAATAAGAATCAATGTGCATTCCTTGGAACTTAAAGAATATATCAATATTTCGTTGCACCACAAATTGCTCAAATCATTAATTGTATATTTTTAAAATTTGTAGAAATCAACAATGAACATCCAAAGTGGAAATTTTACAATTAGAAACATTGAACCATCATTCGAACATGTCACTTCAGTTTCCTGTTCGATATCACTTCAGGATGACTCCAAAACTCCAGCAATTAGCTAGGTGATAAATATCTAAAGTTCAAGGTCCTTCCATTTAAAGAAAATGATATTCACACTATGGTGAAAGTAAGATGGCAGCCACGGATGGGAACAACAGGAATATAAAGTTTTGATGTTTGCTGAAACAACTCTCTTATTTCTCACTGAAAGTCTGACTTTGCTCTAGCAATTATTTATTTGTTTCACAAGATGTGTATTTTAGTAAAGGACTACCAAATCCTATTATGAGAAGTTAAGCTTTGAATGTGGGAATAAATCTTAATTGACTGGTAATCATGAGTAGCTCAGAATTCTCATCTACGAAGCAGCTTTGTTTAATTTTGAACAAACAATGCAAATTATATTTTGAAAATTTTTCACATACACTATACCTGTATGGATGCACATTGGTTCTGGGTTTGTCGCTTTCTTGTTTGCTTGATTAATTGACAGTAGATTTCATTTTGCAACTCTTTATGTGTGAGACACACTTGTAAAACACTCTGAGCCAATGACACATGATAATCAATGGCAGGGGCATCAATAGCAACATTGATGAATAACTGAGAAGTCTGAAGAATAAAACAAATATTTCATTTTATGATGATAGTTAACTACATTTGGGCTATCAGAGATAGAAAGTAGGAATCTTTTCTTTCTGTAGGTTATACTCTCTGGTCAGTCTAAAACCAAGTTCATATTGGATGCAGATCATCAGCAAAAGGTTGCCTACAAATTGGTACTAAATTATCTTAGAAGCCATAACAGCACCTAATGCCAGAAGAGATAACACCTTGCTATAGTGTGAAAATGCTTTCTGTATTTTGTAGGATAAAGAACATTGAATCACATTATTGAATTCTGAGTAAAACTGAAGAGATTATTTTGAATTCTGGCTGAGGTTACATGAGCAATTGGAAGTCTAAAAACTTACACTTCAGCAAAGCTACTTATATTTGGATAGCCTTGGGACCACAATTTGTTAAAACTTTTCAATTTTTGAAGCGGAAAGCTGATAGATGGTACCAATTTATATACTTTGGGAGGCTGAACATGTAATTAAAAGAGCTATTAAGAAAAGGACAGCAAATACTTCTTCACAAAAAAGTTAGTGAAAATGGGATCCCACTCTTACCCTGTCCCCAAAAGTGTAACTTAATTTAAATGTCTAAACTTTTCAATATCCAAGTTCTTGTAGAGCCAATGGTGATTCTTTGATTTCAAAGTAATCCCAACAATTATGTTAGGCCAAATGTCTTATGCATCCAACACGATACTGTCTTTGACAATATTAATGACAGTAAGTATTTTCATAATTTTTGCATTGAGAAAGGTGTTGAGTTCCGATTCACCAGTTCATTAATATTTCCCCAGTGCTGTGTAAAAAAATGTATTCATGACAATAGGGTGAAAGCACGCCAAAAGAGAAGTTTAATATTCATTCAGTGGTAAATAACCAAACAAAATGAAATGTTTAATACCAAATCCTATGAATACCAATGAAATTCACAATATTAATATTGCATATTATGCTACCATCAATCAACATGAAAATATTAGCCTGGTGAATATCCCAAAAGCATACAACCTAATCCACTAAACACATTCAATATATATCTTCCCATACACTGGCCTATGATTTGCCCTAGCAGTGAATCTAATCATGTCTGATGTGTCTTCTGTTCATTAGATTTTTCTTTAAAGAAAAAGTTTTTAAAATTACCAATAACGTAAGCATAAAGCAATGGATTCCACACTTGTAATTGTTAATTTTCAGTACCAGAGACATTGACAAGCATTAATTATTATTATAATTTAATTGAAAGGGTTATTAGACTGAAATGGATGCAACATTCTTTGGTGAATTCAGTTTGTTTCTATTGCATGAGGACAACAAATTTACACAGATCAATGCATTTAAATCATGAATTTGACATTTTTGTGAAGCTACCAATGGATCCATGCATGTGAATACTTGGATTTCTGCCTTCAAGTATGTAACTGCCTTAAGATGAAGTTATTTTAGCACATGTAAAGCAAGTGCCTGTAGTCTTGCCAATACTTTAACAGCAAATTGTAGCCCATTTTAATTCTGGATGCGAATCAGTGTTACCTTAAACAGTTTGAGTGCTTCAGTCTGTAGAGCCACAGATGGTAATGTGGTAAGGGGAGACGCTATTCCATCTTTACTAAAGCACAGCGTAGGGTGTGACCACAACTGGGAGTCTGTCAAAGAGCAGAGTTAGAGTAAAATATGAAAATAAGTTGACCTTAAAAAATGAAACTTAATACTTAACTTAAAATAAATTAAACAAAAAGCCACATTATTCATGTTTGAATCACTATAAAATATGTTGTGATTATGAGTTTAATAAGATTATTATATTTTGGGACTGTTGCTTTAAACTTAGGGTAACTGAAAGGGACTTTTTTTATTCATTCACAGGATGTGGGCATTGTTGGCTAGGTCAGCATTTATTGCCCATCCCTAATTGCCCAGAGGCATATAGGCCAGACCAGGTAAGGATGGTAGTTTCCTTCTCTAAGGATATTAGTGAACCAGATGAGGTTTTCCGACAATTAGACTATTAATTGTAGATATTTATTGAATTCAAATGGCACCATCTCCAGGATTTGAACCCGAGTCCCCCGGACATTACCTGGGTCTCTGGATTAACAATCCAACGACAATACCACTAATAGTCTGACCTACTCTCCATTCTGTCTGACATCAAGCCTGCATGGTTTGATTGTTGGAGATCAAAGAGAGACTTAGATTTAGAAAGAGAAGAGGCTGTCTGGATTTGTAAGGAACTGCTGCCAGACCTGGGATGGAGACAGTCTCGAGTTGGAAAGGCACATACTACAGCCCTCTAACAATTGTGAGAGGTTCATCCTGACAGGACAGGGGAAAAAGAAACATAACAGGTTTTACTGCTTGTGATGGATTTAAGGCACTTCCTAAAAATTAAGGAAATCACCTGGAAATAGTCACTCAAAGTTCAATTCAAACTCTGGATTAGAAATATGGGCACCTATCAGAAGCTGGGAGTAACCACGGATTGATTGCTAAAAACATTGCAATTTCATAGAGTGTGATATGTGTTAGGCATACAAGAGGAATGTCACTTTCTGTATTTATAGGATAAATTGCCTACAAAAAGAAAATTGTGTTTAGTTAGTAGAATTTTTAAAAAAATTCTCATCATAAAAGATTTAAATGTGAAATCTTATCAGATAATTATTTCAGCAATCAACTGGAAATACAAATCTCATTTTAAAATTTATGGATCTCTAGGAAGAGCATAACAATAATTACGGCAGTAATTTAAAATTGAGAAATTCAGTCAATTTAATTCCAAATTTGACTACAGGTTAAACAGTAATCAATATGATGAATTTAATAGTAAACATACAAGCTTAGGAATTTTCTTCACCTGCCAGGAGTCAATACTGAGACTGCAGTTAAAACTGTTTTATAAAAACTAAATCAGTTTTATTAAAGTGACTGAGTGATGCAGAGGCTAGACATTTGGATCTCGCTTTGTTCCTCAGCATCAGCTATGGCTCAGATAATGGCATATCTGTCTTTAAATTGGTTACAGATTCAAGTCCATTGAGCATAAAAAAAATTAATGTGACACTCCAGTACAGTAGTAATGCAGTACTTGTGTTGGAGGTGCCACCTTTCTGATGAGATGTTAAACCAAGGCTCCATTTACCAGTGTGGGCTATTCTAATAGATCCCTTGGCACTATTTTGAAGAGGAACAGTAAGTTATTCCCTATGTCCCCATGATTTATTTCTCAACAGGCCAAAACAAAAATCTGGTCATTATCATGATGTTCCTTGTGGGACAAAAATCGAAATTTCTGGAGAAACTCAGCAGGTCTGGCAGCATCCATTGGTAAATAAAAGCAGAGTCAACGTTTCAAGTTCAAAACTAGTAATAGCTAGGTAAAGGTGTTATATATGGCAGAGAGGGTGTGATGGGTGGGGGTTAAACAAATGGGAGGATGGTTGCAGATAGAGCCGAAAGGGAAAGACAGTTGGGCAGAAAAAAGAGATGGATAATGGTAAATCAGGAAAGGAGAAAAGCTGACAATGGGGACCAAAAGTAAGTGAAAAAGGTTGGCTGTGATAAAAGCAACTCAGGTGATGATAAGGCCTGGGTAAATTACATGGAAGGTGCTCAGGCTCTAAAATTATTGAACTCAATATTGAGTCCTAAAGGCTGCAGAGTCACCAGGTGGAAAAAGAGATGCTATTCTTCCAGCTTGTGTTGAGCTTTGTTGGAGCACTGCAACAGGCCCAAGACAGAAATGTTGGCCAGGGAATGCTCCCAATGTGTACTGAAGTGGCAGACAACTGGAAACTTGGTGTCGTTATTGCAGACAGAACGTTGGCATTCTGCAAAGCACTCACCCAGTCTGCGATTTGTGTCCCCAGTTTACAGGAGACCACATTGTGAGCAGTAGACTGGATTGAGTGAAATGCAGGTAAATCACTGCTTCACCTCAAAGGTGTGTCTGGAGCCTTGGATAGTGAGGAGGAGGAAGTAAACGGACAAATGTTACACTTTCTGTGATTGCACAGGAAGACATCATGGAGGGGACGGTGTTGTGAGAAATGAAGGGTGAGTGGAGGAAGAATGGACCAGGGTGTCCCAAAGGAACGGTCCCTGTAGAATGCTGACAAGGGAGGGGAGCGGAATGTGCATCTGGTGGTGGCATCCCACTGGAAGTGATGGAAGTGGTAGCTTATGATCTTTTGGATGCAGATGCTGGTGGGGTGAAAGGTGAAGACCAGGGGTCCTTATCGGTTTTGGGGGAGAGAACAGAAGAGGTAAGGGCAGAAGTGGGGGATATGGGTCAGACATGGTTGAGGGCTGTGAGGGTGGGGTTCCTTATTGCGGAGAAAAGTGAACATTTCTGAGGAACCCCTGCAGAGGGTGGCATCAGCACAGCAGATGCAACAGAGATAGAGAATCTGGAAGAATGAAATCTTTACAGGAAGCAGGGTGTGAGGAGGTACACTTAAATGCCCTCAGCTCCTAGTTCTGTCAATTGTTTGCCAATTTTCATGAGGGTCCAGAGATACAGCCGAAACAATTAATGATGAAATGCCGAATGACTACGATGCCTACAACCTTGTTGTCATGTTTTGTTAACATATTAACTACTTCTATGTTTGGTTTCCCATCAACTCTTCCAGCCTTTATTAAAGATGAAATGGATGGGTTGGAGGTGGATTTAGGCCTGGAACCTAATTTTAACCAAGTTGAAACCCTCATCCGATTCCAAACACATCTGTTTATTTTGGTTAAAATACCCCCCACTCTGTGCCTGAAATATTACTTACAGGTATCACTGTCTGCATTAAACAGGTTGCCAACGAGTTGTTCAAATTCAGTTCCCACATTTACATTAGTGCTGCCTGCAGCTACAGTTAGTTGATACAACCAAGTATCCTATGAAGAAAACAAAACACATTAAAGCACCAGTGCTTCATTCAAGCCCCAGTGAGATAACCAATCCTGTGATTTTTTTACAAAAGTCTCCAATGACTGTACTCCAGTACAACTGATGGAAAAATGGTCACTGATAACGAGTAATCATCTACGTACCTCCTTCTCCATGTTCATTTTATTGAGGTATTAACTATGTCTCAGCAGTAGCATTCTTGTCTTGGAGTGGGACTGCCTTGCCTTCAGGTTCCTCTTCAGTGATGGGAACAGGAACTTGACTGGTAATTAATTGCAATACAGAGGGTGTACTGCACAATCTTTTGGATGAAACTGTAAACTGAGATCTTGTCTGCTCTCTCAGATTGACTTAAAAGATTCCGAAAAGTGAAGGGCAGCGCAATTCTCCTGGTTTTCCAGCCAACAATTGTTACCCAAACAACAGCTAAAACAGACACTGGAATTTTTTGTTTCCAATCACTTTGTGGGATCTTGCTGTGCATACTCTGGCTTCCATATCTACATTCACAACAGTGAATTGGCTGTAGACTTGTTTAGGACGGTTGTAAACACACTGCACAAATGCAGGTTCTGCATGAAGTCACTGCATAGTACTGAAGAATGTTAATTATATATCTAAGTGTCCATAGATTAATATTACAGAGGTGGTGGGCTTATTAAACAACTCTAAGCTTACCTTTTCATGTTTGGAGCCAATGAGGAGATAGGTAGGCCCCTGCTCTTTGGGATGTATAGTAATTGTATAATGTGTAGACAGAAGGCTACAACTGCTGGTCTCATAGTCTTCGTCCGAATCACATGATCTGTCTACTTCTTCAACTCTTGCTTCCACCAAGTTTATCTGACCTAATGGAAACTTGAAAATAAGCAAAACATGTTATAGATTGTGAACAAAGGCATTGTAGTACAGTGCACTACTAACTTTAGGACAGAGATTAGACAATGGTCTAGGTTGCATGCAAATTGATGGGACCAAAGACTGCTTCTCTCTGAGCTGTGAGGGTGTGTTTGAAATGAGATTGTAGGGGTTTGGTCCCAAGGGCTATGCTTGAGATTTCCTCAAAAGGCTACTTTTTGGTTTGCAGAGTCTACCTCATGGTTTTCACTAATTCCTTCACTAGTTAATACAGTCACGTAGCATCAATAACTTCTGTATTTGTGTTGACATTTGGGAGACTTCGATTCACACAGAACCACAATTAGAAGACTTCATCAATATCCTCACCAATCATCACCACTCCATTAAATTCAATACCAAAACAGACAAGGAAAGCATTAACTTCTTAAATGCCACAGAAATTTATATTAACACAAAATAACAAGCAAACATTAACAACAAAGGCTTTCTGTCAAACAAAAAAGCTGGCAGACATGTTATGCAAAAAAAAATTCACAATGTTAACCACTGAAAGTTTTCATCCCAATCAACTTCACTTTCCAAATAAAACTGGCAAAGACACACACAAAAGAAGACTGACATAAGAATTGGTACAAATATCCTACCAGTCTGAATTCTGAAGGACATGTAGTGGGATCATTGGAACTCCACCATACAACCAACAATCTTTTGCATAGGAACACTAACAATGCAATGTAGCTATGGCAAGTTGGCATGGAAACTACAAACATTTTACCTCGTAGACATAAACGGACCAGCAGATTCAAGACGACCAGTATGCATGGCTGTCAACATTGCGACTAAACCTGAGAACACCGGGATAACTAGTAGAATAGGACAAGAATGTTCATATTGTGACAGTCCAAGATTTACACAACTCTGAGCAGACAGGTTTAACGCCTTAGGATGTTTCAAAAGCAATGTGGCATTGCAATTCAGAGAAGATGCAATTCCACTGATTGACCTTCCCAGAAGGTACAGTGTTCATGTGCAAAATAAACCTTAAACATGAGCTGCATTGCATGGAACACAATGACCTCATCTACCATATGGATCACCAAAGGAGAAGTGGAGTTAAGAATGAGAGTGCAATCAGTATATCTAAATTAGTCAGCTATAAGCCTGTTCCAAAAGACGTGCCCATACAAGATTCCAACACAGGGGGAATTGAATCTGGGATTCACAGGAGCCAAATTCTTCTCCAGCCTGAACACCAAACACAGATACTGGTCGGTACATTTAGCTGAGGAATCTCAGGAAGTCATTACCTTTGGAACACCATTTGGAAGATATTGCTCCCAGAGTCCACCCTTTGGTTTATCTGTTAGTCAAGATCCAGCGACATGTGCATGGAATCACAGAAGACATATCTGGGTGCAAATGCATTGCTGATGACCCATACAAATAGATGAATTAGAAGCAACAGTAGGCCACTTAGCCTTTTGAACCAGCTCTGCTATTTACTAAAAGCATTGCTCATCTGATTTTAATTTAAACTCTACCCTCTTGCCTATTCCTGATAACCTGACTTTAGGAGGCACTGTATTGAGATCATAAGCATGGAGGGGATAGGGGAAAAGCTGGTTGTGGTAAGGGGTTGGTAGATTTTCCATGCAAGCACCTGGATCCAGGAGATAGGTTTGAAGGCACTTAACACCTTTAGTCCACCATGTCATCACTACAGTGAAGCTGCTGGGGTCCCAGAGGTTCAGAATACCTAATCGATAGATAAACTTGAAAAACTGCAGACAATGAGCTAAATGGTAACCAGTTAATTTCCAACCTGCCTTCTTAGAGCAGGTTGGCTGACCACCTAAATTCCACTTCAGTTCAAGTTGGAAATGGACAATTTGGCAGCAGTCGTGCAAGCAGATTTTACAGACTTTACCTTTGCCCTCAACATCACCACAAATTTAGTCCAATGTGGTAGAGTATCTCATGGTTTGGGAGGTGAACATCCAGTGGAAAAGTAATGAGATTTGAGATGGCAATTCTAAAGACACAGCAAAAGGGATGTGTTTGTAGGAGTCTTTTAAAGGCAGGACACGTGGTTGCAAAGCACAATGGAAGAGCATTTAGTTAATTTTGGCAAGGTTTAAAGATTGATCCTCATTCTGGAGGAGCAGAATTTCCAGAAAACATAAGTTTATAACAAATAATGTAAAAGATATGGACATGAACATATGACTAGAGAAGATTACTCATATGGAGTAGTTCCAGGGACTGTTGATGAGAGTTTTGAAATGAAGTTGTTATGTCTTTAGCCCTTGTCAAAAGGGCTTCTTTGGTTTGGGTCATGCTGGGGAATCTGTAGACATGTTATGAATGAAGTGCCAAAACATGAAATAGACTAGAAGGACACAAAAGGACATGAGAGAGAGCAAGGAAACAAATGAAAGAAACAGGAATAAAGGAGACACATAGCCACAGGGGGGAAAAATAAAGAAAAATCACTAAAAAAAAGACTAAGGGCCAATTTGTCAAGTTGTGAAGATGTTGAGTTTGTATCACATGGCAAAGTTATGACCTCAGCTGCGCAGGTAAAGCAGATGAAGAATAAAAATTAAAATAAAATATGATTCTCTGGACAGATTAAAAGTATGAAAATTACAACAGCCTCTTCTACATACAACCTGTCAAAGAATTTGTTAAAACTTTAGTCCTCTGTATGTTGAGAAAAACAGATTTCAAGTCTGGAGAGTAAGCAGATTGTGTATCAGTGAACAAAGTATGGAATTTTGAAAAGATTTGATCACTTTAAAGGTGCTGGTTTACCTTATTTTCATGATTACGGAAATAATAGAGAATCTTTCCAACAAGTGCACACCAGACTCTCTTGGAGTAACCATGCTTTACCTGCAAAACAATTGTTAAATTCAATTGATGATACAATGGCCTGGTATCTGATTCTATGCATTGTATAAACAGCAAGAAATAAAAACAAAACTTCGTCCCAGACTTCTTTGTTTTTTCTTTAATTAATTGCTGCATCACTTTTCAAGTGAAAAATATGTAGCTAGGCTGTTATTCTAGAAGAAGTCACCAAAATAAATGGCGACTGGGCCTCAGACAGGTTTTTGAGATGTCTTTTATTCTGCTGTAGGGTGGATATTTTTGCTCTTGACTAAATAACTGGCAACATTCACCTGATATTTCAATGTGCAGGTTTATCACTATGTAGAACAACATTTGTTGTCAAAACAATACATGTCACAAGGTACTTGTTTATGAATTAAATCAATAACCAGGTTTTCTAAAACTTGAATTACTGTAACTCTTACATTCAACACTATCTTAAATCAGTGATGATTTAAACCATTGAGTCATAAACCTTAGCAGTGTATGACAATTTTGTAAGTGCTGTCCTCGAGACAACTACAGATCCTCTGAATTGAGGCATGTTTATACCTAAACAATTGCTTTTACAATTTCCAGCATTAACAAAAACTTTTGTTGTAGGTAATCTAAAGATCATTTTCAAGGCTTCTTTAAATTAATATTTTAACCTCATCAGAACTAAAATACATTACTTTGAAAATGAATTGTCTCAATCAATGCTAGATTGGTTAGTCACCTGTATGTCTACATTTACAACTACCTAAATACGAGTGAATTAGACATTTATGTAACATGGTAATACTTGCCCCAATTTCAGAGTTTAGAACATAAGCTGGTTATCAAAAGCAACATACTCAGAATTAATATGTTTCAGTACCAAAATGGTGAATTCATATTCCTGTCATTCAACCCGGCCATCAATTATTGTATAATATGTATATAATTAATGAAATCAGTACCTTGGTTAGTAAACCTTCAATCGATGGCTTGACATCTGGCTGTGTGAAAAGGGGGCTGGCAGCTTGTACACGCAACACATTCTGCAAAACCCGAATCCATTCCTCAAGAATATTTGGAGAATCTGCAGTCAGATAGTAGGTCTTCTTTTCTGTAATGAGCTTGGATTGAAAATACAACAAACATGTCATCACATTGATAGCAAGAATCTGCTGTTGGGCCATGTGAGCACTCTGACCTTAAAAAAGCATGCAAAAATTATAGTTGTAATCAAAATGGCCAGCCATTTGAGGGATGTTTGTTCCTAAATACGAAGCTAACTTGTTTTAAAACAAATATTGTTATGATCCCAGCTGATGTTATTACTGGACATATTGGTTTGATGAATGAGATTTTGTTTGATTTGGTTTGAACAAAGTGATCTCAGTCAAACATATGCACATAATTCTGCAGATTTTGTGTCAACAATATGGCTATAAAACTATTTATTTATAGTACAAACTCAATGATTTTTAAACACACATTAAAAAGTATAATCTCATTAAGTGCAAAACATTCCTTTATAAATTGAAAAGAAAAACAACAGTTTTTGGTATCGTATCCAAAATGACATCTTGTATCATACCTCCAAAACCACTCATATAATACATGTATCAGAGTCCCTGTCTTGAGCACCTCAAAAAAGTTAATTGTGATTTTAACTTACAGACAGGAACTGCTTCTTCCTGGAACTATTATACTCCTGAGTTTTAAGTAATCTCTTCAGGATTTTATCCCAACGGTCTGGGACTATCACTAACTCTTTACTTGAAGGAAATCTAGTTCTCGGGAACACTGGTCTATAGACGTACCTTCATTGAAGAATCCATAGAATGCCTACAGTGTGGAAACATGCCGTATGGCCCAACAAGTCCACACCAACCCTCCAAAGAGCATCCCACCCAGACCCACCCCCATACCCTGTCGCTGTAACCCTGCATTTCCCATGGCTAACATACCTAACTACACATCATCGAACACTAATGTGTAATTTAGCATGGCCAATCCACCTAACTTGCACATCTTTGGATGGTGGAAGGAAACCAGCACACCCAAGGGAAACCCATGCAAACATGGGGACAATGCGCAAACTCCACACAGACCGAGGGTGGAATTGAACCTGGGTCCCTGGCGCTGTGAGGCAGTATTGTTAACCACTGAGCCACCATTTTGCCCGTAATTTTTTTTTAAATTAAAATTAAATTTTTGCAAGAATGTGAGTATAAAATACAATTTAGGCCAATGTACAAGTCCAATCCTGGATGCAGATACATAAAAGAAAATAAAAACTTCCATAGTTGTGAGTTTACATCATCACAATAAGCACTTACCTCCAACTGATAATTGCTTTATATTTAATTCCACAAACCACAGACTTATAAAGATCACTAAAAATATTGGGTCTTCTACTAAAAAGAATTTCAAAGGATTGCTCAAAAGTCAAAGTAAAACTAATAAAGATAATCTCTCTGAGCTTTGAATGTTCCCCTAAGCTTAAAAACGTACTTCCTGATCTTCTAAACTGAAGCTTGTTTATCTCCTTCGGTCACAAAACCCAGCAAATGTACATAAAACATCATCAGTTCTAAAGACAGGCCTCAAAAACTATTTTAAAAGAAATCACCACAGCCTACAGAATTGAAATTGAATAGTAACTTCAGACAAAAAAAGCCCATGCTACTAATTCAAAAACAAAAATCCAAACTTACAATAAATGATATTAAATATACGTATGTAAAAATTAAGCAGTCTACATAACAATTTTTTGATTATAGGACTTCATTTTAGAATATTTCTGTAACTGGTACAATAACCTTAGTTACTGAAAAGAAACATTTATAATAATCAATGTGTCACTTTTCAGGTACAAATGGTGGCATAATGAGTGGAATACAGGGAGATGCCATCATTCCATATTTCTCTTATTCTGTTCATCACACAGGATTCCAATAGTAGAATAAATGAGGTAGGAAGTTGCCAATTAAAAAAGGAGCTGTTTAATCTGTATACTATAATTAAGTCTATTTATTTTCCTGATCTTCATATATGCCTAACACAGAACTATCCTTCTGCTCAAATAAATGGAAATCCAGGGTTACTTGACATTGGATGTGTTAGACATTAATTTATACAGATATTTCAAGAAATCTTTGCAAGATTTTAAATAAATGTTTCATTTATTTCGCATTTTCCTATTGTTTATCCATTATTCACAAGCTTTTGTGCCAATTATTGTGGTGCTTTTTTTTGTCCCACTGCTGGAGCAGTTGAGGAGACTAAGTTTCCCCATGGAAATACTTCATACAAGGTAGAAAACAATGAAGAAAGGGATGATATGCAGGAAAGGGCTCTTTGGACCTTTCCACTTAACCTTCACATTGTATCTATAAGCAGAGACGAATAAACATCAATTTGCCAGACGAGTTTATGCATAAATTTCAATTTGTCAAAAGAGCTTTGATTTATAAAAATAAGCTGTTACAGAATTGTGTCAAATATTCCAAGCAGAACTATAACCAAACCTTGCCACAGGTATAGCAGCATAAATTCGAGGATACCACTCATGACATTCCTTATTGGCCAGACAGCTAACCACAGAAATATGGAGTATAGAACAGATATGTTACTTTTTTGAGCAATCAATCTCTTCTTCCTTTCCATGAACTACCAACAGTACCAGCTGCACAAGTTCACAGAGAAGAAATTTCTCTAAGATTGAATTTGTTATGGACTACATGCACATCTTTAAATGCTCTATCACACAATATCAGTACCTCTGTCAATAGGAAAGACTGTATTCTCCAATGTACATCATTGGCCACACAAGTAGATAGGATGGTAAAGAAGGCATATGGCATGCTTGACTTTATTGGTCGGGGAATTGAGTACAAGAGTCAGTGTATCATTTTGCAGCATGTAAGACTTTGGTTAGGCCACATTTAGAGCATGGCATTCAATTCTGGTCACCACATTACGGGAAGGATGTAGAGGCTTTGGAGAGGGTGCGGAAGAGGTTTATCAGGATGCTGCCTGGATTAGAGGGTACGAGCTATAAGGAGAAGCTAGAAAAACTCAGTTGCTTTTTCTGCAGCAGCAGAGGCTGAGGGGAGACTTGATATACATCTATAAAATTGTGAAATGCATAAATAGGGTTGACGGTCAGAATCTTTTTCTAAGAGTTGAAATGTCTAATACTAGAGGGCACGCATTTAAGGTGAGGGGGGAAAGTTCAAAGGAGATGTGAGGGGCAAGTTATCTAACACATTCTGTGTAAAGAGTGTGGAACATGCTGCCAGGGGTGTTGGTGGAGGCAGATACAATAGGGGCATTAAGGGACTTTTAGATAAGCACATGAATATGCAAAGAATGGAGGAATACGGACCAAGGGTAGGCAGAAGGGTTAGTTTAATTTGGTATCATGTTCGGCACAACATCTTGGGTCAAAGGGCCTGTTCTTGTGCTGTACAGTTCTGTGTTTTATGTATATGTGCCTTTTTAGATTGCTGCAGGCTTGCAGCCTGTTAGGCAAGTTCTATTCTTGTACTAAACATTTATCAACTTAAACTTGAAAGTCAAATATAGCATGGTTTGCATAAATAAAAGCTGGAGATTCCAGGATCACACCATTGAAGTTTGGAACCTACAAGAAAGTTTGTTTAAAAAAAGCTACAGATTGCTGTCACTTCCTTGCAATAGATCGAGCATAAACATCTTCAAGCATGTAGTTGTCAGAAGATACAATGCAAATTCAATGACTTAATGTTGCAATATTGTTTGAAATGAACACTGTACTGGAGAAATGGGGCTAAAAATACTACCTGAATTGTTTGTTTTCCATCACACCTGATAATGTGATTTGAGACATTGAGCTCAATCTGACCCTGTGGTTTACGGATGACATCACTCTGGATTTAGAGATAAAAGAGAAATAAGATTTTAGTGCATGCAGTATTAATTAATTTTCAGGTGTTAGTCTGGGTAATCAAATCTAAAGATTATTAATATATTCTAAATTGAAATGCAGATCAGACTGAATGGATGAAAGCTTTATTCAGTTTCCTGCTCTTTTCGTCCCTTCATGAAAATCCTTATGACCTGGTGGAGTCACTCAACTGTTGCAAGCCCCAGTGTAGGACTTGCTAGAGTTGGAACAAAAACAAAGTTGCTGGAAAAGCTCAGCAGGTTTGGCAGCACCTGTGAAGGAGAAAACAGAGTTAACGTTTCAGGTCCGGTGACCCTTCCTCAGAACTGATGATGGCTGGGAAAACATCAGTTTATATGCAGAAAATAGGGAGGTGGGTGGGGTAGGGAGTAAACGATAGGATAGAGCCCAAAGAGAGAGAAAGACAGGTGTACAGATAAAGGAGTTGCTAACGATCAGGCTGGGAGGGTGAATAGTTGTTAATGGGGACTGTTAGTGACTAACAACAGGGGGTGTGTAATGGCAGGCTAAGTGGTAACAAGGCCTGGTGTGTGGGGTAGGGGGCTGGGACATGGGAGAGTTCAGGCCCTAAAATTATTGAACTTAATATTGAGTCCGGAGGGCTGCAGGGTTCCCAAGCGGAAAATGAGGTGTTGTTCCTCCAGCTTGCATTGGGCTTCACTGGAACACTGCGGCATGCAGAAGCAGAGATGTTGGCCAGGGAGCAGGCTGGTGCATTGAAGTGGCAGGCAACAGGTAGTTCAGGGTCTTTTTTGCGAGCAGAACGTAGATGTTCTGCGAAGCGGTCACCAAGTCTACGCTTCGTTGCCCCAGTGTAGAGGAGACCACATTGTGAGCAGCGAATGCAGTAGACTAGATTCTGGGAAGTGCAGGTGGAGTGTCGCCGGTTACAGGGGAATGTGCCGTAGGGCTGTGGGGAGGTGTTGGGGGTGAAGGAAGTGTGAACCAGGGTGTCCTGGAGGGAACGGTCCCTGCGGAAGGCGGACAAGGGAGGGGAGGGGAATATGTGTCTGGTGGTGGCATCTTGCTGGAGGTGGTGGAAATGGCATCTGATGATCTTCTGGATGTGGAAGCTGGTGGATGGTAGGTGAAGATAAGGGGAACCCTATCGCTGTTGCAGGAGGGAAGAGAAGAGGTGAGGGCGGAAATGCGGGAGATGGGTCAGACCTGGTTGAGGACGCTGTCGACAACGGAATTGGGGAATCCTCGGTTGAGGAAGAAGGTGGACATTTCGGAGGCTCCCTCGTCGAAGTTGGCCTCATCTGAACATATGCGACGGGGACGGAGGAACTGGGAGAATGGGATGGAGTCTTTACAGGAAGTGGGGTGTGAGGATGTATAGTCCAGGTAGCTGTGGGAGTCAGTGGGTTTGTAATGGATATTAGTGGCCAGTCTATCCCCAGAAATGGAAACAGAAATGTCAAGGATGAGAAGGGAGGAGTCAGAGATAGACCAGGTGAAAGTGAGGGCAGGATGGAAATTGGAGGCAAAATTGATGACGTTTTCCAATTGCAGACGAGAGAGGGAAGCAGCACCGATAATATCATTGATGTATCAGGGAAAGGGTTGTGGTTGGCGGCCAGAATGGGACTGGAACAAGGAATATTCCACGTACCCGACAAAGAAACAGGCAAAACTAGGGCCCATGCGGGTACCCGTGGCAACCCCTCTTACCTGAAGAAAATGAGAGGAGTTGAAAGAGAAGTTGTTGAGGGTGAGGACGAGCTCGGCCAAGCGGAGGAGGGTAGTGGTGGTTGGGGATGGTTCAGGTCGTTGCTCCAGGAAGAAGCGGAGAGCCCCAAGACCCTCCTGTTGGGGAATGGACGTGTAAAGGGATTGTACATCCATGGTAAAGAGGAGGTGGCTGGAGCTGGTAAACTGGAAGTTTTGAAACCGGCGTAAGGCGTCAGATGAATCATGGATGTATGTGGGTAGGGATTGGTAGAGTAGCTAGAGTTGTGTGTGGTAGTTCCTGTCCACAACTTCTATTGATTGGGTATGCATGATGGGCCAAGGGCTGAAGAATAGAGGCATAGACTATTTTCTAAATAGGAAAAGGCTTTGGAAATCCGAAGCACAAAGGAATTTGGGGGTCCGAGTTCAGGATTCCCTTTAGGTTAACAGGCAGGTTCAGTTGGCAGTTAAGAAGGCAAATGCAAAGTTAGCATTCATTTTGAGACGATTAGAATACAAGATCAGGGATGTACTGCAGAGGCTGCATTTGGAATATTGTGTGCAGTTTTGGGCCCCAAAAGGATGTGCTAGACTTGGAGCGGGTGGGGGGTGGGGGTGGGGTTAGTCAGAGGAGGTTTACAAGAATCATCCAAGGGACGAAGAGCTTGTCATAGGAGAAGAGGTTGAGGACTGTCAGTATGCACTCAATAGAGTTTAGAATCACAGAATTCCTGTAGTGTGGAAGCAGGCCTTTTGGCTTATTGAGTCGACACCAACCCTCTGAAGATCACCTCACCAGACACACCCCTATCCTGTCTCTGTAACCCTGCATTTCCCATAGCTAATTCACCTGGCCTACACATCCATGGATACTGCGGGGCAATTTAGCATGGCCAATGCACCTAACCTGCACATCTTTGGACTGTGGGAGGAAACTGGAGCACCCGCAGGAAACCCACACAGACACAGGGAGAATGTGCAAACTCCACACAAACACCTGGTGCTGTGAGGCAGCAGTGCTAACCACTGAGCCACCGTGCTGCACCACAGATGGGGAAAAAAGGAGAAGAACAGGGTGGGGAATCTCATTGAAACTTACAGAATACCGAGAGGCCTGGGTAGAGTGGAGTGGAGATGTTTCCACTGGTAGGAGAGACTAGGACCCGAGGACACAGCCTCAGAGTGAAGGAATGACCCTTTGGAAATATGAGGAGGAATTTCTTCAGCCAGAGTGTGGTGAATCTGTGGAAATCATTGCTGCAGAAGGCTGTGGAGGCCAAGTTGTTCAGTGTATTTATGACAGAGCCGGTTAGGGTCTGGATTAGTAAGGGGATACAAGGTTACGGAGAGAAGGCGGGAGGAAGGGGTTGAGAAACATATCAGACATGATTGAATAGTGGTGCAGACTCAATGGGCTGAATTCTGATCCTTAATCATATGGTCTTATAGTTATAGAAGTAACACTAGTATATTATGACCCAAAATAATATAAAAATCAACCAGCATATCTTTTAGCACATCATGATTTAAAGAATAATTTGGATTCAGAATTTTTTATCTGAAGATAATGCAAGTAAAGTGAGAGATATCACGAGCGACAATATTCCACTATTTCAGCCATAAATCAAGAACAAGTAGAAACATCTCTGGGATTTAGAAGAATCAGAGGTGATCTCATCGAATCATATAAATTTCTTACAGGGTATTACAACACAGCAGGAGGCCACTTGGCTCATGGCATTCATACCTGCTACTCAGAAGGTTGTGAATCTTTGGAAGTTTCCATTCCAAAGAGCTGTGGAAGTTCAGTTGCTGATTATATTCAAAACTGAGATGACTTTCCTCATTTACAATATCAAGACATAAGGAAATAGGGCAGGAAAGTGCAATTGGTGTGTAAAATCAGCCTTGATCATATTAAATGGCAGAACAGACTTGAAGGCCACATGGCTGACTCCTATTTGTAATGCTCTTACAGCATAGCATTGAACTGGTTACTTTATACAGTTAGAACAGAATAGTTATCTTACTTACTGGTGATTTGTAGTACAGCAATTCACCACCTTTAAGGACAAACCATCGCCGTTTCCATGTTTTCACTTTTCCTCCCAATTTTAACAAATATCCAGACTTTTCTAATGGTTCCTGTACAATGGATCATTGTGCATTTTACTATTGTTGTATTGTTAGAAAAATGCTTTGTATTTTACTTTGTCGCATTATAAATGGATATGGAGCGATGCAAATTTTACTTGTTTTTTTTTGCTAGTTTGATGCATCTGTCTCAAAAAGAGACAAACTACCATTTAAATGACTGCAGTAGGGATCACGACTCACACTTTATAAAAAGGTTTATTTATTTTGAAGTGAGCATATTTTTCAGATATATTGATGACAATTTTAGGAGAATTTCTGCTCATCTTCAGCACATCAATTTTGTATATTTGTGTGGATCTCAAATTTCCAATCAAAGACTTCAGGAGTTTACAAATTGCAGCAACAAAATTCAGATCAAAACTATAATGTGAAGCGCTAATAGATAATCTCCAAGCATCTGCTTTCTGCAGAGAAGAAGGAGGTGACTTTACTCAAAATATGCATTTGAAGAAAATAACAGAACTCATTTTTAAGCACGTTGAACAACACTCGAACTCAGCTTTTCCATCTAATCATTTAGTAGTGATTTGGAAAAGCTGTACGTTTACATTAGGTAACATCAATGAACAACACAATGTGAAACAACTTTATAGTTGAAACCAACTAACATTTTGGACAGTAAGTATATAGAGTGGGACTCTAATCCAATAATGGTGTTTTGCACTACAGCAAGAAAAAATGTCAAGTCTTGTAGTTTGCACCACTGGGAATGAAAGATGGAGTAGGAAGCGTTGGAACTTGTGACAATGTGGCCATGCGTCGTTTGTGCTATTGATGTAAGCAAACCCTCATCTGGAGTGTTTAGGCTATTGGCTTTGGCCACCTATAGCTGAGCCTAGTTTTGCTCCTGGTCAGTGATCAAAAACATAAAACTTTAAACAAGGGTCACTGGATAATGATCAAGATTGAGGACTAGTTGATATCCTCATATCTAAACCTAGAGTAATGAGATTAACTGTAGTACTCCCAATGTTTAAGGATTGTCTGTGATAAGATAAATAAACTGAGCACAGATAATGGATCAACCACAGAACTGTTGATCTATGAATGATGATTGCTTCACTACCTGGCTCTGCTAGTGAGAGGGTTTCAGATTTGACGAGGATAAAGACTTACATTTTTCCCACTGTCGATGGAGTGGGAAGAACATGTTTTCGGAAGTTTCTGTTCCGGCTCAGAACATTCTGTGTCTGTACAGTATGCATCTGGTGGGATGGCATAATCACTTTCCGAGGTCATAGAGGACATTGATACTCCTGCTCAAAATATTTATAGAATATGTTCATTAATACTTATGCAAACTTATAGAAAACTATCTTCCACAAAAAAAAAGAAAAGATGCATATCCCGTTCAAAGCTCAAAACGTCTGAGCTGAAGAATTCCTCTTATTTGCATAGAATGGGATTGAATTTTGTTATTCTCAACTGTTGGAACTTAGGATACTTCCCTACACCATGCAATACCTCAATATTTTACTTCAGATATAGGGAATATAGGTTATTTTACTTTGCCCAACTGGAAATGCCCTTTTAGTTGTGTTCCTAATTAAAAATGGGAATATGTGAGGGCTTGTTGCAACATGGGAATATAAAATCCTTTACTCTTACACAGACAGAGTCTACATTTGGACTGGAGGCCAAAATCAGGAATTCCGTCCCATGAACCCAGCTCTTGCCATTTTTTGCAGGAGAGCAGCAAGGGTATGGGTGCAGTTTATAACTTGCACATCTGTGGTCCAAGTACGTACTACTAACCTGATTAAGTGTATTTGCAGCAGATTTTGAAACTGTTCTTAGCCAATCAGAACATAGCTCCATCTCTAATCATAGCTTAAGAATTAATTAACTGAGAAGAAATTAATTATTAATCCTGGAAACTCTTATTAATGCCTTAACATAATCATTTGCTTACACTGATTCTCATTTTTTTCATTTATCTGTATTGCTTTATACAAATCCAAAGGAAATCTCACCTCGTTTCATGGCCCGTGGACTGCTTGGACTACTGCCTTTGCGAGAGTCTGATCCTGTCAGTGAAGTCCTGGAACTTCCTCTGGAGCTGTCACTTTCTTCAGTTTCAGAAAACTCATCTGAGAAAGGACTTGTACTAATCTGAGTTGCTTTCTTAAAGATTAAAACAAGATCTGCAAATCAGCTTTATATTTTATTATGTGTTATGTTACAATACGGGAGACAGAATTTCTCTCTTCTTGACAATGCATTAGCAACTTAATATACATCTTTGAATCTCTTACAGAGTTAATTAACAATGGAAGATAATGCTAATCATTGATTGAAAAACATGCAAGTCAATGGGATATATTTGAGTCAATGGGTGAAAAGTTTCTTCTGATTTAGGTTTCTATAGATATTTCTAAAGGAAAGGGACGGGTTTATGACTGGATTAAATTACAGACCACCCATTCATTAACATAAGTTCGTTATATTTTAAATGTTGCTACAGACAGATACAAAGGCAAAACAACCCAGCAATTTTTTTAAGGAGGATCATTTACTCAAAGTTAGAAGTAAATGAAATCTTGCAGCCAGCACTGGAAGTCAGGTATCTTGTTTGCCATCTACATGCAGCTGAAAATGCCTAAGTTTAGGAAATTGGTGAGTGGAGAACTATAGACTTGAAAATATGAATCTAGCGGGATTTCTGGTTCTCTTAGATATTGAAAAATAATGCAACATTTTTTTCCTGTTATTAGTAGGGTAGATGCCAAAACTGATACAGGAACTCATTCAAAGATTAGCTACATTCACTGATGTTATTAAACTACTGTTGAAAGTTCAGTCTGATGAAGCAAGTGTGGATTTACAGAGGAATTAGATGAAATTAGCAAATGCACAATGGTAGAAAGATCATTATATACAAAACATGGCAAGATCAAATGTAGCTAGAAGTGCACTTGAGAAGTACCTAGGGCGTTTGCAAAGTTAGTACTTAAATGTAGAGTCATAGACTCTATGTACAGCATGTGTACAGCATGGAAACAGACCCTTCAGTCTAACTCATTCATGCCAACCAGATATCCTAAATTAATCTAGTCCCATTTGCCAACATTTGGCCCATATGCCTTCAAACACTTCCTATTCATTTACCAATTCAGAAGCCTTTTAAATGTTGTAATTGCACCAGGCTCTACAACTTCCTCTGGCAGCTCATTCCACACACACACACACAAAACACCCTCTGTGTGAAAAAGTTATCCCTTATGTCCCATTTAAATCTTCACTCTCTCGCCGTAAATTTATGCCCCTAGTTTTGTACACCCCTACCCTAGGGAAAAGATCTTGGCTATTCCCCCTATCCATGCCCCTCATGATTTTATAAACTTCTGTAAGGTCACCCCTCAGCTTCCGACGCTCCAGGGAAAATAGCCCCATCCTATTCAGCCTCTCCCTACAGCTCAAACCCTCCAGCCCTGGCAACATCCTTTTATGAATCCATTCAAGTTTCACAACACCTTTCCTTTAGCAGGGAGACCAGAATTGAATGCAGTCTTCCAAAATTGGCCTAACCAATGTCCTGTACAGCTGCAACATGACCTCCCAACTCCTATACTCAATGCACTGACCAATAAATGCAAGCATACCAAACATCTTCTTCACTATCCTGTCTACCTGGGACTCCACTTTCAAAGAACTATGAACCTGCACTCCAAGGTCTCTTTGTTCAGCAACATTCCCCAGGACCTTACCATTAAGTGTATAAGTCCTGCCCTGATTTGTCTTTTCCAAAATGCAGCACCTCACATTTATCTAAATTTAACTCAATCTGCCTTACCTCGGCCCATCGGCCCATCTGATCAAGGTCCCATTGTACTCTGAGATAAGCTTCTTGGCTGTCCAGTACACCATCAATTTTGGTGTCATTTGCAAACTTACTAACCATACCTCCTATGTTCACATCCAAATCATTTATATAAATGACAAAAAGCAATGGACCCAACACCGATCCATGTGGCACACCGGTGGCCTCCAGTCTGAAAAGCAACCCTCCCACTACCCCCTATCTCCTACCCTCGGCCCAGTTCTGTATCCAGATGGCTAGTTTTCCCTGTAATCCATGTTATCTGATCTTGCTAACCAGTCTACTACACGGAACCTTACCAAACACCTTACTGAAGTCCATATAGATCATGTCCACCACTCTGCCTTCATGAATCCTTTTCAATACTTCTTTAAAAAAAAAACTCATTCAAGTTAGTGAGACACGATACAGTGTCTAATTACTGTGGAGCAGCTGTGAAGCAAACAAAGCAAATGCCTCACAATACTGCAAGATTAGAAAAGCATAAATCAGTAATTTGGTTATTCTTAGATCCCTCATCAATTTTGGACTCTCTGCCCACAGATAGTTGATCTACGCTTGGCTATATTTGGTCCTTGATTGAACCTGCTGTGACTGTGACAACCGGACTCTACACTCTGTTCCAAAGGATACAGGCATGTGCACTCAGCCTGATCTTGGTTACTCTGTACCAATCAAACAAAAATGGCTTTCATGTCATAAAGTTTGAAATTCTACAAATGAGAAGAGTTAATATTTGTACTGAGTTTTGAAAATCGCTTATGCAATCTGTTCAATTTCAAAACTGGTTCCCACCACCATATACAGAATGATTGAGACAACTCAGAAGTTCAGTTAAATTCATCCCTGTAAGATGAAGGGTGGAAAGGTACTGATGTAGTATTCCTTCAATAGTTTGGGTCCTTAATTAATAACTTAAATATTAATATCTTTATATACTTCAACACCTGTACTATACAAATTGATTACTGATTTGTAATTTTATAACAATTTGAATTCCATATTTCTTCTTTTAATATCCAGTCCACAACTTCCTTGTTTCCTGGTCAATTTAAGTGTCTATTTTTGTTATTGACATGATTGTCACATGTTTCCATGTTTTTAAATACACACAGTCATTATACAAATTCTATGATCTAGGTTACTCTGCAATCAGCCTTTCCAATGTGAACATGAATAAATTATGACCAGAATGTAAGAAATAGGAGCAGGTGTGGGGAATTCAGCCTCTTGAGTCTGTTCCACCATTCAATATGATCATGGCTGATATAATCTCAGCCTCAATTCTACTTTTCTGCCCACTCCCCATAGCTCTTTAGCCCATTACAAATTAAAAATCTGTCTATCCCCTCCTTAAACTTACTGAATGTCCCTGTATCCACCACACTCTGTGCCAGTGAATTTCACAGATTCACAACCCTTTGAGAGAAGAATATCTCCTCATCTCTGTTTCAAATCTGCTATCCCTTATCCTAAGACTATGACTTCTCATTCTAGATTGCCCCACAGGATGAAACATCCTCTCTATGTTTACTTTATCAATCTCCTTTAGCATCCTGTATACCTCAGTTAGATCTCCTCTCATTCTTCTAAACTCTAGAGAGTATGGGCCTAAACTGCTTAAACTTGTCTTTATAAAACAAATCCTCAGGTTGAATCAATCAAGCAAACCTCCTCTGAACTGGCTCCAATGCAACTACATCCCTCCTCAAGTAAAGGGACCAAACTGTATGCAATACTCCAAGCATGGTCTCACTAATGCTTTGTTGCAACACTTTTCTACTTTTAAACTCAATTCATTTAGCAACGAGTACTAAATATCCAATAGCTTTCCTCATTGCCTGCTGTACCAGCATATTACTTTTCTGCAATTCACACACAAGGACCCTCAGATCCCTCTACACTGAGGCACTCTGAGGTTTCTACACATTTTAGGTAATAAGTTGCCTTTCTATTCTTCTGACCAAAATGGATAACTTCACAATTATCCATGTTAATATCCATCTGCCAAATTTTGACCCATTCACCTAACCTATCCATATCCAGTTGTAAATTTCTTATTTCTCATTGCAACTTATTTTCTCATCTTCTTTAGTGTCTGTAAATTTGGCTATCGTACCTTCTATCCCAGCATGTAAGCCATTACCAACTATAAACAGTTGGGACCCGAGGACCAAACCCTGTGACAGCCTATTAGTTATATCCTGCCAACCAGAAAAAGATGCACTTATCCCAACTCTCTACTTTCTGTTGATTAGTCAATCATCTACCCAAGCTAATATATTACCACTATTCCCATGTAACCTTACCTTGTGTATTAATGTTTTGTGTGACACCTTATCAAATGCCTTCTGGAAGTCCAGCTATACTACATTTACAGGATCTCACTTTTCATGTTACATTTTCAAAGATCTCTTGCAAATTAATCAAGCTTGATTTACTCTTCATAAAACCATGCTGACTCTGATGGATTGGGTTTTAACTTTCCAAATGTCCATTACTTCCTTAATAATTGATTCTAACCATTTCCCAACGACAGATATTAAACTATCTAGTCTATAGTTTCCTACTTTCTGCCTCCATCTCTTGTTGAATAAGTGTTATTACTTTTTTGAAGCATGAGGGGGAAGCAGGAAGAGGCAGCTTGCAAAGAGGCAAGATATTAAAATAGTATTGTTGAATCAAATACATAAGATCAGCGAAGGCCAATAATACGGGATAGTAGAACAAATCCTGAGAAAGGTGAATTAAGGACAGGTTGTAGAATACTTTCTTCACTCAACAATATTCAACATGTTGGAGGTTCTCAGCTCCGATGCAGAGGCAGACTGGGCTACAATGGTAGCTAAGAAAAAGGGACAAGTATGTATAATAACAGTATTACCAATCTTTTGGAAACACAAGATAGAAATGATATACTTCACTCACTGAAACACAAAGTACACGGGAACAACTTTCAGAACAGAAATTTGTTTTATCAAAGATGGTGCAACAGAGATGAGGTAATCCTTTGGCAAAAAGGACTTCTGGCAGAATTTCAAATTTGTGATGCTTCCTTCAAGTTTTGTCTAATAGCAACAGTTTTAAAGATTGTTTTCATAATGACACATCATTTGCATGCATCCTCACAATCATCCTTGATTGTACACATACTTCACTGTAAAAGGTTCACTTACCCATGCACAAAATTAGGATAATGAAAGGAATTTAAACATCAGGCAAGAACGTACCATTAAAAACTTGAGCTAAAATTTGTGAAGAGTAATAAAGATATAATGGCCAATGGTTGCACTCAACTTCTTTTGTCTAAAATACTTAGTAAAATCATGGCTTTAAGCTGGACACTTACCCCTTTCAAAGTAGTGTAAACTGGAGAGGTCATACTCTTATAAATCAAGCTGGTATAAGATGCGGATGTTGAATTTGAAGACACGAAGCTAGTGCCTAGGAAATAAAGAGTATTGTTTATGCACAGATGATGGAGGTTTATTATATTTTAATATTCAATGTATAAAAGCTCTAAACAGTTAATAAGACATCAGACTTTTTTTAAACAAAAAAAAGATAATTTTTTTTATACCAGTTGAGTTTATGGGAAGAGGATGAATCAGTCTGTAAAAACCAGGAAGGTGCTTGGTATTATCCCTGATTGAGATGATCTCGCTTGAAACTGCTAAAAAGTAAGAACAGTAGCTAAAAATTAAAATGTTCTGCTGTCGGGAGTTATTATTTTAGTTAACTTCTCCAAATTAATTTTGTGTGCATATTCAAAGTGTAAAGTGGAATTTCATGCTTTGTTTGGAAATACCAAATTTGAGAGGAATTGTTCAGCTAACTTATGTTAGAGTAAAGATCTCATATAACACACTTAGTGTGAAGGACTGTTCTGGGATAAGAAGTTTCCAGCCTGAGAAAGGGAAAAAAAAACAGCAGAATCCGGGAGAGTTGAATGTCTACTTAAAAGGACAGTCTGACGTATAATGGATTGTAGGTTATTTTTGGTTGTGTGAAAAGTCCTGTTCTGTAGTTTAAAGTAAAAGTTTCCTATAAAAAGTGTTTAGGAAATAGTGCTGATAATCTGTCTGTTACAGTAAACATCTTAAAATGTAGAACTTGTTACATCATCTTTTCAGCTATTTATGGGAATTTCAGATTTCCTTTCAATGATCACTGTTCTTTACAGATGAAGTAACTCTTTCTAGTTCACTTCGCTCCTTCAAATCTAGCTCTGACCAAGCATTTGATTACCTCTCCTACTATCTTCTTATGTGGCTCAAAGCCATGTTTTATGTTATAGTACTCTGGTGGCAATGCCATGATATATAGTGCTTACACACAGTGGAACAAGTTGTTGTTGTACTAATGCCTTTAAAAAAATGACTAATTTTAGAATCCCAAGAGAAAACAAAAGTGTAGAAAATCTGTGCATAATGGAATAAAAAACAAAAAACATAGAAAATCCCACAAAATCTCAGTAAGTCTGGTAGCCATGGAGCAAGAGACAAATTTAATCCCTCAGTTCTGTGACTTTACATCGGAGATGGCAAAAATTAGAAATATGACAGATTTTGAGCATGTGAAACAGAGGAAGGTGGGAAGGTGAACAAAAGGGAAGGTCTGTGATTGGGTGGTCAGTGGGAGAAATTAAAAGTCAAAAGGTATCATGGTGCAAGGCCAAAGTGAGTGGTATTGGATCATAAAAATATGTTAAAAGATATGTCTGGGGGAAGTGTGAAGGGAAAAGTCCTGAATAGCTGCTAATTGACAGAAGGTAAAAGACAATAAGACTCACAAGATAGAAAACCCACAAAGAAAAACAAAACAAAATGAAGGCAGAGATACTAGGAACTGCAGATGCTGGAGAATCTGAGATAACAAAGTAGGAACTGCAGAGTCTAGGCCCGAAACATCAGCTTTCCTGCTCCTCTGATGCTGCTTGGCCTGCTGTGTTCATCCAGCTCTACACCTTGTTATCTCAAAATGAAGGCAGAATTTATCATTGAAATTGTTTGAACTTAATATCAATCCCAGAAAACTATGAAGTGCCCAGTTGATGGATAAAATGCTGTTCAAATATTTGTGTTGAGTTTCAATGGAACCATTATAACAAGGCAAGGATGGAAATGTAAGTGTGGGTGTAAAGCGATGAATTAAAATGACTGGTACACTGAATGCATGTGTTCCCCAAAATGCTCAACCAGCCCATATTTGGTCTCCCCAGTGCTGAGAAGACCACATCATGAACAGCCAATACACAATACTAAATTGAAAGGAGTGCATGTATGTTGCTGTTTTACGTGGATGAATGTTTGCAAAGAGACAAAAAGTCTGGCATACCATTTCCTGTACTTGTATGGATAGGTGCCACAGGAAAATAAAGAGGTGCAGGGGGTGTCTGAGGAGTGGACTAGGGTAATGTTAAAAGAACAGTCCCTTCCAGTGCTGAGGGCATGTTGCTAAACAAAGAGACCTTGGAGTGCAGGTTCATAGTTCCTTGAAGTGGAGTCCCAGGTAGACAGGATAGTGAAGAAGGCATTTGGTATGCTTGCATTTGTTGGTCAGTGCATTGAGTAAAGGAGTTAGGAGGTCATGTTGTGGCTGTACAGGGCATTGGCTCGGCCACTATTGGAATACTGCATTCAGTTTTGGTCTCCCTATATAGGAAGGGTGTTGTGAAACTTGAAAGGGTTCATAAACGATTTACAAGCATGTTGCCAGGGTTGAAGGGTTTGAGCTATAGAGAGAGGCTGAATAGGCTGGGGCTATTTTCACTGGAGCATCAGAGGCTGAGACGTGACCTTATTGAGGTTTATAAAATCATGAGAGGCATGGATAGGGTAAATCGACAAAGTCTTTTCCCTGGGGTGGGGGATTTCAAAACTAGAGGCCATAGGTTTAAGGTGAGAGGAGAAAAATTTTTCACAGATTTTCACACAGAGTGTGGTACGTGTATGGAATGAGCTGCTAGAGGAAGTGGTGGAGGCTGGTACGATTACAACATTTAAAAGGCATCTGGATGATTATATGAATAAGAAGGGTGTAGAGGGATGTGTGCCAAATGCTGGCAAATGGGACTAGATATATTTAGGATATCTGGTTGGTATGGAAAAGTTGGACCGAAGTATCTGTTTCAGTGCTGTGTATCTCTATGACTCTAAGGGGATTAGTTGTGTTTGGTGACATCATGCTGGAGATGATGGAAATGGCAGAGCATGATCAACAAAACATGGAGGTTGGTGGAATGGAGGGTGAGGACAAAGGAGAACACCACCATGGTGTGGGAAAGAAAAGTGCTGGGAGCAGTGTAGAAATTCAAACAGACCTCACTGGAGGGCCCTGCTGACCACCATGGTGGGAGGGAATTCTCAGTTGTTGAGAAAGAAGAACATAATAGTCACTAGTGCGGAAGGCGGTATTATCTGAACAGATGGAGACATGGAGAAACTAGAAGAATACAACACAGTCTGCACAGGAACCAGGGTGCGAGAACATACAGACAAGACAATGTTGAGTCAGTAAATATTGTTTGATTGCCTTTCCGGGGATAGGCTGAGACAGTGAAAAAGAAGGAAAGAGTAGGAAACAAAGCCAACAGGTTAGACCGTGAGAATACAGAAAGGGTTAGTCCATTAAACAGAAAGCATTCCTCCCTCATAAATAAAAAATAACTCACATTTGTTACCTGGGTCTGTACAAACGGCCTCTGACATCCTCATACCTGACTTGGCCACTGCATAAATTCTGTTTTCCTGGGTGCAGAAGATAAAGTAACAACTCTTAATATATCTGTATTGTTGTGTGATTTCTGGAGCCATAAATCAGCTGAAAACTTTTCATGTCAGTCCCGAGGTATGGGGAGCAGAATAAGGTGCAGGCGAAATGATCTTTACTTATCTTCAATTTTTTTTCCATTGTCTTGTGCTAGCACGTACACTTACTGGGATGAAAGAATAGAAGTGTCAATAATCTTCTAATTCTTTATTTACATGGTCATTTTTCAGAAGAAAGTTGAGATATGAAATGGTCAGCAGGCTAATTGAATTTTAGTGGGTGGGTCGGATTTTTGCCTTTGACGAACTTTCAATTCTATACTATTAATGGATATTAGCAAGATTCTTAGCTAATCTTATTTTCCTTCCTAAACTAACTCAAGTTTTACCAACATCCCAGTTAAGAGAAATTGAAGCACAAATTAAGGAGTGAATGTAGGGCCTTCTCCATCAATACCATTTAATTATCTTCCAAACTGTGTACTTACTATTTGTGTTAGTGTTTTCAAACCAAATATTGCTTTTAATCGGATTTTGTAATTTATAGCAGATAAAGGAATTCATCACGTCCTTGTACTTTATTGAAATGTATTTTCAATTTTATCTAACATGCTTTCTATGCAATAAAAGAAACACCATGTGATCTCTGATTCTAGAGTAGCCTTCTAGTACAATTTGTCTGGTAATAATTCAACATATTTCAACAGATTGGGTCATTCCATCTTGAAAGTATTGTCAGTAACTGTGACTAATGAATGGTGATGTAACACCATGTTAGAGATACATACAGAACCACATGGTATTATCTGCCAGTTAATCTTGTTGGCACTGATTAAGAGGTTAAGGGGACCTGCCAGACAGCATTCAACTCCCAAGCAACGTTTAAATTCCCATACTGATCATGACTTCTATTCATACGAGTACAAGTTCTCCTAGTATAAACTGTGCTTTTCAAAGGGAGAAAAAGGTTAATTGATGATGAGGAGATAAATTCCCTACCCCACAACTGGTGCTCATTGCCTCTCTGTTACTTGGCAGTGGAGCTTCCACAGCAATATGAAACAGTAGCACAGCTGTTCTCTGGGGATTACAAAGCACTGCTTTGATAATTGTAGATGCTGGACCCATGTACAGAATGAGGGGAAGTGAACTAACTAGTTTAGTGTTGGACATTTTTTGCCGAAATCTACATCCTTAGTTGAGATGAAGACTGACCTACATTCAAATTCATTCACCTTCCCACACTGCTCACGGTCTTATTGGCTTTCCCAAAATCTGGACATACACATTTACCAACATTGTTCAAAATATCCCCACACCATCAGGTACACTTACAATCTAAATACCTGGCTACTTCCTTCTCCAGACGGAACACATTTGAAGTCTGGAAGACACCTTAATTCACAGCAAATGGATTACTGAAATATATTCACAAAGCTTGAATTTCCGAATATGCTTTTTAAATTTATTCTATGATGGGATGTGGGTGCCGCTGTCAAGGCTGGCTTTTGTTTCCATTCCTAATTGCCCTTGAACTGAGTGGCTTTTGGGGAGTAGTTAAGAGTCAATCACATGGCTGTGGATCTGGAGCCACAGTAGGTTGCAACAGGTAAGGGTGGCAGATTTCCTTCCCTAAAAGACATTAGTGAACCAGATGGGCTTTTACAACAGTTGATTATATTTATCATGGTAACATTATTGAGACTAACTTTATAATTTCAGATTTATTAATTGAACTTAAATTCCAATGGCTACCTTGGTTGGATTTTGAACACATGTCCTCAGAACATTTGCCTAGGTATCTGGATTACTAGTCCAGTGATATTAACAGTACACGATCATCTCCACCAAGATAGTGCAATGTAAAAGAAACACTGCAAACGTAGCATGCCAAATATAGCATGAGATCACAGCCACCTTCAGTAAATAATACCCACTGATTTTGCTCACACCACTCTTTCAGGCAGTATATTCCAGATCATAAAGTGGTGAGTAAACTACTTTTCCCCATGTCATTTCCAGTTCATTTGCCAATCAGCTTAAATCTTTGACCTCTGGTTGCCAACCCTTGTTCAGGTGGAGTTAATTTCTCAATGCTTACTCTAGCTAAATTAATCATAACTTTGAACACCACTTTCAAAGCATAAAGACTGACCATTCAATAGACTACTTCAATTTTATGCTTTGATAGGGTGATTACCAAAGTCATGAATAAATCTTCAAAACTGTTCATATTGCCTAACACCTTTTTACAAGTAAGTACCAGTCCAAACTGATGCAAGTTAGTTGAAATCTTTGCGATCAGGAAGACTATTGTTATTGTCATAACTGTTAGTGTAATATCAAATTAGTTTTTCAAAACATCTGTTGACATTTTTATTTCTGCAAATGAAGCACTAGCTGTTAATTATCACTACAACACAGCAATAAATATTACCCAAGAAGGGAATCTGTGTAGAGGAGGTGTTGGTGGCTTGCTGGTGGAAACTTTGCCTGCGGTGTCCTCGGTTTCCAGTTTCTCCTCTGTAATTTGTCCTTCAGATGAATCATACAAAAACATTTCCTCATCGTGGCCTGTTTCCATTTTCTCCAGAATATCATCTCCACCTTCATCGACATCGATGTCCGTCTCTTCATGACAAATTGGCCTCACCATACTAATAGCATTTCGGTTTCTGCCAAACAATCGATCAGTATTTAATTGTGGTTGGCTAAAGTGTTTCTTTGATTTGGCCATGCTTAAACTAAATACATTAGGAGTCCTTAATCTTGGAGGTGCTAAGTTAGAAGATGAATTTGCTCCAATTAAGGACTGCATGGTCTGGTCATTGGTGGCAGTTGTTGGGGTTAGATGCTGTGGTGTAAGTGGAGATGTTAGAATTAGGTTTGGAGTATTTGTTCCACTGGATGATGATGTCGAATCCAGTCTTTGGGATTCAAATTTCTTGTTCAACTCATCAGCGGAAGTATCATGATCCATTCCTTTAATAATTGTTTTAGAGTTCTTTATTATGCTTGGAAAATAATCCACTACTTGCAGTGTTTCAGTATTTGGACCTTGAAAAGGCTGTTCTTGTTCAGTTCGCTGAACTACTGCACTCTCATTATCGAAAGCAGAGTTATTGTCACCAGATGCTGTCAAACAGATGTCACTCCCAAGGTGATTACAGATGTTGGACAAACATTTGGATTTTAGATGCTTTTTTCTCTCATCTTCTTCATCAGAACTACCATCACTTAAAGATTTAAAAGTTGCATCTTCTTTTGTTAAAGTTTGTTGGCTAGTTAGTCTTTTTCTATCTTGTACCTCAGATACATAATAGTTTTGAGCAAAACCCCTTTGATCTGTTGCGGTATTTTGAACAGAATTCATTTGTGGCTTCTTGTTCATTTCATTTTCTGAAAAAAAAAAGAGAATTGCACAAGTTAAATTCTGTCCATACTTTTTGAAGCCACTTGGTATAACAAAGGTTGTTCCATTGATGCATGGGTTATATGCCCAAAATAGTGTGCTTTGGACATAAGGTTTGGGGAAACAATGCATGAACCAGTTCGTAATTTCAAAAGTACTGAGGAAGTCATTGTGTTGACCTACACAGAGGGACAGAAAAATCAGAGGAAGTCACTTCTAGGGTCAGACGTTCCTATAACCTCTAATTGAAGTACGTGATAAAAGTGAACACAATACTCTGTGTGGTCTAACCAGTGATAGAATTTCAGCAAAACCCGTGTCAATTTATATTCCATTGTTGAAACTACACTGCCAAACATGATATTCCCTTTTTGTAAATGCTTTCAATATTGAGGTAATGTTATTTAAAATTTATTCCAAATGTGTCCTTGTGCTAATTCTATTCACTTCACTCCATACAAATTCATTGAACACGAAGGAATCATTCAAGAGTAGGGCAAATTGGTAATAAGACAAACTTAAAGGCTTTGTGCCTGAATGCATGTAGCATTTTACAAAAATATATAATGAATTAACAGTGCAAACAGAATGCAAATCGTTCTGATTCGGGGTGATTACTGAGAGGTGGTTACAGGGGGACCAGGCCTGAAAGTTGAATATCCACCAGACTTTATGTTTCGGAAGGATAGACAGAAAGAAAGTGGAGATGGTGCAGCATTGTTAGTAAAGGAAGATATCAGCGCTGTGGTCAGAAATGATTTTCACACTGGAGGGCAAGATGCGGAAACACCCTGAGTAGAATCACAGAGTCATATAGCATGGAAACAGGCCCCTTGGTCCAACCAGTCCATGCCGACCATAATCCCAAACTAAACTAGTCCTACCTGCTTGTGTTTAGCCCATATCCCTCCAAACATTTTTTATTCAGGTACTTATCGAAATGTCTTTAAAACAAACTGTACCCACATTCATCACTTCCTCTGGAAGTTCATTCCTCACGTGAACCACTCTCTGTATAAAAAAAACATTGCTCCCATGTCTTTTTTTTTAAATCCTTCTCCTCTCATCTTAAAAATATGCCCCCTAGTCTTGAAATCCCCCATCCTAGGGAAAAGACATCTGCCATTCACCTTATCTATACCCTTCATGGTTTTATAAACCTCTAGAAGGTCACCTTTCTACCTCCTATGCTGCGGTGAAATAAGTCCCGGCCTATACAGACTCTCCTTATAACTCAAACCCTTCATTCCTGGCTGCATCCTGGTAAATCTGTTCTGACCCTTTCCAGTTTAATAATATTCTTCTTAGAATAGGGCAACCAGAACCAAACACAAGAAATAAGTAGAAAACAAAAAAGTGAAAATAAAATAAAAATAAGTAGAAATAAGAAATAGCAAGGGAAAGAAATCCTTTGTGGGTGTAATCTACAAGTTCCCTGTTAGTAGTTCTACAGTAGAAATCAGGAAATATTGATTTTAACATGCACATAGATTTGTTTAATCAAAATGGCCAGGGTAGCCTTGACGGGGGAATTCATACAGTGTATTAGAGATTGTTTCTTGGAGCAAAATGTTGGGGAATTAACCACGGATTGGGTATTTTGGATTTAGTATTGTGTAATGAGGTGGGATTAGTTAACAATCTCATAGTAAAGGATCATCTAGGGAAGAGTGATCATTTGCAAGTTGGAATTTCAAATTAGTTTAAGGACAAGAAATTTGATTGGAAAATAGTGTCTAGTGCTAGGTAATTACATGCACATGATGACAGGCTTGGCCCTAGTCAACTGGGCAGGAAGACTAAAATGTGGGGCAGTTGATAAATGGTGGTAAATATTGAAGGAGATATTTAAATCTTCCCCACTAAAACATATTTCAGAGAGGAAGAAAGATTGTGAGAGAGGGAAAAAGGATCCATGGCTAAGAGAGAAAGTTCAAGATAACATAAAGGGCAAATACTAAGGCATACCATATTGCAAAGATCTGTAGAAAGCTGGAGGATTTGGAAATTTTTGAACAAATGAACAAATGAAAAAGTGCAGCACAGGAACAGGCCCTTCGGCCCTCCAAGCCTGTGCCAACCATCATGCCCTAAGTAATCTAAAAGCTAACATGCCATTTTTTGATCCAAATCCCTCTATTCCCTTCCTATTCATGCACCCATCTAGGTGCCTCTTAAGTGTCTTCAATGTGCCCGCTTTCACCACCTCTTCTGGTAGTGCATTCCAGGCTGCTATCACTCTCTGTGTGAACAACTTCCCTCGCACATCTCCATTAAACCTTCCCCCTCTGACCTTGAACCTGTGCCCCCTCGTAATTGAAACTTCAACCCTGGGAAAAAGCCTTTGACTATCCACCCTATCTATGCCTCTCATAATTTTGTAGACCTCTATCAAGTCTCTTCTCAGCCGCCGCCTATCCAGTTAAAACAATCCCATTCTTTTTAACCTTTCCTCATAGTCAATGCTCTGGAGACCAGGCAATGTCCTGGTGAACCTTCTCTGTACTCTCTCCAAAGCTTCCACTTCCTTCTGGTAGTGTGGTGATCAAAACTGCACACAATAATCCAAATGCGGCCTATCAAGGGTTTTATATAGCTGCAACATGTTTTGCCAACTCTTGTACTCCATGCCCCAGGTGATGAAGGTAAGCATGCCATATGCCTTCTTAATCACCTTGGCTACCTGTGTTGCCACTTTCAGGGAACTGTGGACCTGTATGCCCAGATCCGTCTGAATGTTAGTGTCCCTAAGGGTTCTGCTATTTACAATATAATTCACACCTAAATTTGATCCTCCAAAATGCATCACCTCGCATTTGTCTGGATTAAACTCCATCTGCCATTTCTGTGCCCAAGTCGCCGATCTATCTATATCCTGTTATATACTTTCACAATCATTGGCACTATTAGCAACTCCATCAATCTTCATGTCAACAACAAACTTACTTATCAGACCACCCACATTTTCCTCCAGATCATTTATATATATATTACAAATAACAAAGGACCGAAGACTGACCCCTGTGGAACACCACTAGTTACTGGTCTCCATTCTGAAAAAACTTCCTTCTACCACTACCCTCTGTCTGTTTTCTATCCATCTAGCCAGGCCACCCAAATCCCTTGTGATTTTAGTTTTTGTACCAATCTGCCATGTGGGACTTTATCAAATGCCTAACTAAAATCCATATAAACTACATCCACAGCCTTTCCTCATCAATTATCCTCACTGAATTTTTTGAGGAGATAATCAGGTTGGTGAGACATGAAGTTCCCCGAAATAAAACATCCAAAGATGTGCAGGGTAGGTGGATTGGCCATGCTAAATTGTCCATAGTGCCCAGGGATATTTAGGTTAGGTGGGTTAGACACAGGAAATTAGGAGAATTGGTTGGGTGGGATGCTCTTCAGAGGGGCGGTGTGGACTTTTTGGGCCGAATGGCCTGTTTCCACACTGTAGGGATTCTATGATTCTGTGATCTTGTCCCTCAGTATCTTCTCCAAGAGCTTCCCCACCACAGACGTCAAGTTCACCAGGCTATAGTTTCCTGGATTATCCCTGCATCCTTTCTTAAACAAGGGAACAACATTTGCTAATCTTCAGTCCTCTGGAACTTCACCTGTGGTCAATGAGGATGTGAAGATATTGGCCAATGCCAATCTATTTCCTCCCTTGCCTCTCAGAGTAACCTGGGGTAGATCCCATCTGGTCCTGGGGACTTGTCTATCTTAATGCAATTTAGGATTCCCAAAACTTCCTCTTTCAATGATCAACAAAGAGTTACTTAAAAAAAAAGTAATAAAAAGAGCAAAGGTTATGTATGAAAGAGGACTATTGCAAAATATACATGTATATAAGAGGGAATAATCTAGCTAAAGTGAATGTTAGTCCCTTCGAGGATGAGACTGAGGAGTTAATAATGGGGAACACAGAAATGGCAGAGACACTAAGTCAGTACTTTGCCTCAGTCTTCATGGTGGAGACCACTGAAACCATCCCAATACAGAGATTATAGAATAGGAAGAACTTAAAACAATTGTCATCACTAGGGAAAAAAGTACTGAGGAAACTACTAGGATTTAAGGCAGCCAAGCTCCCAGGGCCTGATGGTTTAAATGGAGATTGATAAAGGAGACATAGAGTGAATGTTTCCTCTTGTGGGACAATTTAGAATAAGAGGCCATAATTTTAGACTAGGTAGTGTCAGATATAAAATAGAGACAAAGAGGAATTACTTCTCTCAAAGGATCATGAATCTGTGGAATTTACTACCCCAGGATGTGGTGGATGTTAAGACACCAAATAAACCCAAGGAGCAGATAGACAGATCTTTAATTGGGAAAGTGGAATGGAGGCCAAGATGAAGTCAGCCATAATCATATTAAATGGTGGAGTAGACTCGAGGGGCTGAATTGCCTAATCCTTTTCCCTATTCATGTATTTACTCATATATCTTTTGTTGCTTTTCACGTAATATCGTCAGTAATAAATTTAATTTTCCTTTTCAATTCATAACCAATCTAAATTCTTCTACAAGTGATGAATAACATTCTCCATCTTTATTATACAATCTTAATGTCTATAAATTTAAATACATTACTTTTCTGAAATGACCTCCCAGGTTTCATTATTAACAGAATTATAGATTCATTGAATTACATATTAATGCAAAGCAACATCTTAACTTTCTTGTTTTATATAAATAATGAATGCTAAAACAGCAACTAGTATCGTCCTCTTGTTGGTGCCTTCATATATGGCTGTGAACAGTGTAAAATGTGAATTAACTTTGCAGATTAATTCAGTTTCTTCCTGTTGCTTTATTAGATTCCTAAAAAGAATGTAAACAATCTGCCCTCTCAATTCAATATTTTTAAAAAATCTCTAGAATGAAAACATTTAAAAAGATGAAATAAATAAAGTCTGTTCATTTTCAGAAGTGAAATATTTACTTAATATATTTAAAACCTATAAATGCGGCAGGATTTTCCAGTTGACACAAATCAGTTTTATTGATTGATTTACATGATTCAACACCCACCTGTAATTTTTATGTTCAGTGACCCTGGTTCTAGGGTATTCTGCTGAAGACTTCTGGGGTTTCCTTTAAAATATCCAAAAGTTAGGCTGCTAAGCCGTTGTGCTTCCCCTGATGTTTTGCTCAAGTCAGATGATGCTTTTTGTCCTCGACTCCCTGTCAGTGCTAAAAGATAGCAGCAACCCAAGAACATGTTATTTAAGAAACTAGAAGAACTGCGGATGCTGGAAATCAGAAACAAAAATAAAATGCTAGAAAATCTCAGCAGGTCTGGTAGCATCAGTGGAGAGAAATCAGTGTTAACATTTCGGGTCCTGAGACCCTTCCATTCCCAGTTCTGAAGAAGGGTCTCAGGACCCAAAACGTTAACTCTGATTTCTCTCCACAGATGCTGCCAGGCCTGCTGAGATGTTCTGGCAATTTCAGTTTTTATTTCCAGTTAGTCAAGCATTGCTCTAGATGATTTCTGACTGCAGTGCAAAACCAATTTTACTTCTGTTGCAAATAATAGACTAAATTGTGCGGAAAAGCCTCCTTACTCCAAGAGGTCTGGTCTGACCGAGCAGAGGTGAGAGAAGGACGTTACATCACACTATTGTGCCTATCAGGACTTATTTATCTGGAAAATGGACATCATGAAAACAAGCAAAGTGGAATTTTTTGGATCCTTGCTCACATCAATTTGCAAAGACTAAACCACAGAAATGGCCTTCCAAAACAGAATATTCATACTCTGCACAATGATACAACAGAAAAACCAAAGGAAGACAGTTTTGGAGAGTCGACTCAGCTGTCCAATACATTGGTGGCACTGCATTTGCAATTGCATTGTGCTGTTTTTCACATTCCTAAATTGGAAAATGAGCTTGTTAGGCAAGTCTGCCATAAAAAGGGGTATACAGTTAAGCTCAATTTCAGCACAAGGGCCACTGTAATTGCAGTCCAATGATTTCAGTCGAGAACTGAGGGGAAATAGATGATATATATGCGTTAAGTAATCACCCCATAAGAATTCACTGGTAATGGTGCATAGTAAACAACTGAATTCACTCAGTAAATCACATATATGGTGGAGAATCTTGGCTCTAACCTTGTAATTTGGTCTGAAGGATCTGAATGTGTTCCACCTGTTGCTGGTTGGTAAGCTTAAAACTCTGATTTTCAGTTTCAAGCTATGAGCAAAGAGAGGATATAGATGGTGTTAAATTATTATCACTCCACATTAAAAACAGAAAATTAATAATAAGAACCTGTGGTTTACTGAAAACATCAAAAATTATATTGCATAATATTAATCTAACTTCATTCTTCTAAACAACTAAGATTGTAAATACAACTATGTTCTAGGTATACTTCAATCAATAGATAGAATAGCCACCTGAATAAGTTTATACAAATGTAACATAAGTGCACATATCTTGGGTGAATGCACATAAACCTTTTAGGAGAATTTTTGTTCAATGGACTTAATAATTTTAAATTTTATAATGAGCAGTTTGGAATACATTTTCCATACACAGGAACCTAAAAGACATAAAAATGTGTTTTGCAGCTCAAAATTTCCAAGAAAAGGGAAAATGAATCAAAAACAAAACAAATTCTACAACTAATTCAATATGCTGAATGTGTTTCTCTTATAAATACGCAGCAACACTCAGGTACCTCCTGAAGTTTCATTGTCACCCAATCCTTGATTTTAGCTGCTTTCTCCTCAATTATTTTGGCCTCCTGCATCCGTAGGTGCTTCTGAAAATCAAATGCTTACTGTTAACCTTCTGTGAATATGTGAACACTTCAGTACAACAGAACACATGAAAAGAAGTAACAGAACTGCAATAATTTTGACCTTCATGCTATGAAATCTGTGTCATAAGACAAAGCTAGATGAGAAAGCAGTTTCACCTACCTACCCTTAATTATATTCAATATCATGTACGGGAATAAATAGATATTTATTAGCACAAACTTGTTTATGCGGAAAGCTTTCAGACCTGGGAATAGGTGGGTTAGTGATGTGCATAATTATTTATCATCTTCCAATTAGATTCCCAATGGTACATAACATATTAAAATTTAATTAGAGTCAGTTGTACTTTTGGATTCTGTTTGATTACAGTGATTAGCCTTGTCACCCAGACATGTATTTGGTTCACAACTCCTTTAATTGCTATCTAATCAAGACAGAATTAAAGTTCCCCCCAAAAAGCTCATTTGGTAAACCAAAGTACAAATGAGCCATGCTGAGCAGAGGTTGAATTTAATGATCTCAATGGGATTGGCAGGATGGGTGTTAAAACATGCCTAAAGCATCTGGGTCAGTAATGGGAAAATCTGGTAATGGTAATGAGCTAATTAAGTGAAGTGCCATAAATCAACTCTCCAACCGATCCAGCCATCTCCATGTTTATTTCAAGACCTCAACTGTACACTTGATCACTTCGGTGATCCCATGGTAATTTGTACCTCATCTCAACAGGCAAGAGAAGACAATAAAAGGGTGTCATATGCAATTTGTGGTGGGTGGTATTTGATCCCTTGCAACCAATCTCTCATATTTTGAGTAAAGATGGCTTATTGGAGCAGAATGGGAGAATCGTGACCGTTGCCTGGAAACTTGGTCCAGATCTGCATTATTCTGTGTTGATGATCACTAAGTAGCTGCTCAAAGAGGGAATGAAATCCCTTCCTGTTTACAAATGCTTCTGGCTGGTTTCCTGATGTTCTAATGGTAATACATGTATAGTCTATGACTCCTGACACATAAAGGAAGCAGCACCATTGCAGCAAATACCAGAGTCTTTTCATTCTAATTTCTAGGTACCATCAGGAAAATCATTCATTGATAGAAAATGTCTTTGCCAGAGCCAGTGACCTGCTTTATGAACAGTAGATTGAGGAATTTCAGAAATGTTCACTCTAGCATTCTGAAATGGTGACTTTCACTGTTATTATCACTAGTTAGGAAGGACGAACTGATTAATTTCCTTGTCCCTACGTCTCTACTGGCTACCACAAAATTTGAGCTTAAAAAGAGAGGAAACAATCTGTCTTTGGAGCAACATCAGAAACAAATCAGTCAAACAAAAAAAAGTCATGTTTGCAGAATACCCAAATCCAAGTCTGCAGCTGAAGTAACTTTGACACAAGCTATTGGCAAGAGATTTCTCACTGGATCAGTTATGGCTGGTTGAATTCTCTTTTTTGAAGATTGTCTGTAGATTCAGACTTCTCCTCCAACAATCCCCTACTTGTGGTGATCAGGCCTTCCACTAGATTTTCAACCAACAAACTTTGATAAGAGGTTTTCAGAAGAAGAGAGCAAAATGAAGGCTGTTGTCTACGTGACAAATTCTTTGCAACAATCTCTGTTCAAAACAAATTTTTCCCCACCTATCAACTGGGTCATGTGACTTTTTCACTGAACGTTGCAGAGACATTGGATCCAAGCAGCTTGTTCTTTGCAAATGCAATACTGATGCTGTTGAAGTCGGTGTCCTTTGCTTGAAAAATGATCTTTCCAAAAAGTCCAAGATATGTATATACATGTCTAAATCAATGATATTGTAAATTCATTGTTTAAATGACACATCTTTATAACATTCCAAGGCCAAACACGCCCACCTTGGCCCAGAAACAGTATGACTTCATGCAGGAGGAGAATTCTCTCCTCACCAAGACCTCTACCACTCCTCCTCCTGGGCCTCCAACCTGTTACTGCTGTGAGACTCACACCCATCTATTCCTGTGAGAATAGACAGGATAAAGTTAGACTGGTGGGACAGCTTGCAGTCCCAGAAGATGCCACTGCGCTTAGAGGTGCTGTTGGGATGACAAAGCTGCCGTTCAATCAGATTGGCCAGCAGCTAAGTGGAGATTTCCTCCCACGAGGGACAAATGTCTTGCCTCTAACTAATTAATGTACCTCAGATCATGATATGGCATAGGGCAAAAAGCGTCAGTCTGGATGTCATCTGCACAACTGAGTAGCAGGGCAGGAAATCCTGCTGCCCAAAAAGCTCTGCCCCATCTTTCTTGAATCCTGCATTTTGCAAAATTTTTGACCGCTTATCTAATATCCAGTGCAAGTTGAGCAGAAATTTCTGCCCATTAAATATTGGGAATACTGTAGCCATTGTCTTCAGTCCCCATTCCAAATTCTTTTCCCCCTCTACGGACTTCTTCCTACTCCCTGCATACTATGTGAAACTTAAGCAGACAGTTTGTAATCCTGGTGTCCTCGCAGAGTTGATCTTTCCACCGTATATCCATGCCATTATGAGGACTATCTTTCTCCACCTCTGTAATATCACCTGTTTTGGTCCTGTCGTGTACCAATTACTGCTGACATCTTCATTCATGCCTTTGTTAACTCTAAGCTATTCCAACTCACCCTTGGCTGGCCTCCCACATTTTACCATCCTTAGTCTGCTGCCTATTGTCATTTTCCCCGAGTATATTCACCAAGCATCCCTGAAGTAGCTGACTGACATTGCCTTCCATTCAAAACCTTGATTTTAAAATGTCGATTCTTGTTTTCAAATTCCTTTCTCCATTGCTGTAATCTCTTCCAGCCACCAACTTTTCAAGATAGCCTGACTCATCTAATTCTGGTCTTGTGAGTAAACCAATTTTAAACCACCATTGTTGGCTGTCCTTTCAGCTATGTAGATCTTAGCTTCTGGAATTCCCTTTCTCCATTACTCTACCACCTTAACTTCTTTTCCTCATTCAAGACACTCCTTTAAACCTATACTTTTAATTAAGTTTTTGGTAATTTTACCCAATAAATCCTTCCGTGGTTCTGCGTCATATTTCTGTTTTATAATGTTTCAGTGAAGCACCTTGGAATGCTTTATTACATTGAAGGCACTAAAGAAATATATGTTGTTCAGTAGAGAAAATGGAGCATAACGAAAAGAAGCTATTCAGTTTATTAAATCAAAATGTGTTTCATATGTAAGCAATGCACATTTCTAAGTACTTAGGAACAAACCACTCAATTAGAATTTGAAGTAGTAATGTCTATGATAGCAAACCTGTTCATCTAGCTGCAGCTCTAAACGCTGTATGATATCATCTTTTTCCTGTATAAGAATTTCCAACTCCTGACAGCTCTTAAACAACTTATTCTCTGATTCACCAGTCTGGATATTGGCTGTTTTTAGCTTCTCTTCCATGACACAAACCTAGGTACAAAAAAACCACACACAAAAGAAATGCAATAAAATTCTTCATAAAATGAATAAAAAAACACAGCAGACAGTATCTGTTGGAAAGCCATTGAAGGAAGCTTGGCTAGTCCTGCTAACTCATGGTAAAACTCAATGCTATCCTAATGGGAGATTTCACATTTGATCTCAAACTCCAATAACATCTCAATTGGACAGTTATTTCCTGGTATTTTAATGTGCTGTAACACCATGCCAAAGTAAAATCCAGACACAGATTTTCCCGAATGAAATCATCACATTTTAAGAATCACTTCACTCAACTGCATAGTAGTATTTTCCATTTGTAACCAGGTGGGAAGCAAATATTTGCAGCTGTTGTTTGTTAATCACCACTTGCAGTTGTTTTGCTAATATTTTGGTTTTGTTGGTATGTGTCTGTTTATGTCTAACGCTCTCTTATTATGGCAGCAACAGGAAAATGATTAAATCCCTGCAGACAAATTCAAAAACTCTAAAAAGACAAGGAAAATGAACTAATTAACTCCTCCTCGATACAAATGGTGATGGCCACAATTTTCCCTTCACTTTTGATCTTCACTCTCCTCCTTCAACATTTTTCTCTCTACTTTTAATTTCTGTTTTCATCTCCAATGTTTTCTCCTTTTTCCCCTCCAGTGAGCAGATAACTGAACAGTAATCTTGGAAACTAGAACACTGAAAATAGATGTCAAATACTGCTAAAGCACAGTATATAGTGGATCCTGATATCTGTAGTCTTTTAAATCAAGTATAATTACTTGAAAATGTTTATCTTACAGTCTTAGATCAAGGTCCTAAGCATGGGAAGTGAGCTATACGGCTGGGGACCTGACAGTGATAGCCAAATTGCAATGTTTCCAGAATGCAGTGGGAGCAAAGCTGCAGCTAAGGGACCAAAGCGCAAAAAGGCAAGGCAAGGCAGGGATGATTTGCCCGGTATGCTCCGAGTGAGTGTACACTTTGACGGCAAGCAATAAGCCCAGGGATATAGCCTGGTCTTGTCCATGAGTTGGGTGTGTGTCCTCCTGAGTGCAGAGTGTCCTTGCTACTGCATTACAACGATGGTTGCTGGTGCAGCTCAAGGTACGGTATTGAAGTGCAGAGGCTTCCTGTAAGTAGGTTGGAGATTTGCCACAAGAATTCTTAGAGACTGGCACATTGGCCATGGGTATGGGCTGCATGTGGCCAGTTCCCATGGACCGTGCCTGCAGATGCTCTGGTATCCATGTTAAGTTATGAACAAGTTGAGTTGGGTGGTCATCAAGGCATTTAACAAGCAATAAAACTAATTATTTGGCAATTCACCGCTGCTGAGAAACTTGCCACACCATTTGTGAAAAACAAAAAATGGAGTAAGATACTCTGGATTTCGAGACTGACATTGCTGATTTCTCGTCTTATTCTACCACAAATTTCGCCATAAGTCACATTGCTCAGACCCCTATAAGATTCTGTCTATTAACTTTCTTTCTCTCTACAAATGGTGTCTGACACACTGAGTAATTCTGCCATTCTCTGCCATCTTACTTCAGGAAAAATAGTAATAGGTACTGCCTTTGCCTAAATGTGTGTAATAATTGTTTCAAGCAAGAGGAAAATTGGCGATCAGAAGATTAAGGCAAGTGTTTTAACTTTCCTTGTGGGATCAGGAGGAACAAGACTGTGCATTTGAACCATCAAATGTTTAAGACCAGGTCAAACAGAATGTTAAGCTTACATGAACAATCTAGACCAGTCTGAGTGGATGTGGGGAGTGATAAAGCTTGGTGACATTGGTGTACACTGTCGTAAAGTGGATCCGTGAGAGATTTTTAAATGAGGGTAGTTTCAATTTTTACTTTGTCTTAAATCAACAACGGATGTTAATTTATCGGACTGTGTGATTTGGGGCCAGATATCTTTCATATCAGATGCCCAGGCTTGTTTCTAAAACATCGGTGTTATTTCTCACCTAGGTCAGCCTTGCCTGCATCAGATAGTTGTAGCATGCTTGCAAGATAATGACTCTAAGCATAAAGTTGTAACATTTAAAGCACACGACTACACAATAGAATGTATACAGTAGGTGAGGAAGAGGCCTGTTTGCTTATACACCACCTGCTGGTAAGCCTTCTCAGCACGACGGTTGGCATCGATTACTTGCCTTTCCAATTGTTGCATCTGGAAAGCAGAAAACACTACAGTAAATGTGAAGCTAGCTGCAACATGAATTCTACTAGCACATTCTAAAATTGTTTCAAAACATTTGTAGTTTATTTTCCCCAGGAAAAAACTAACAGATACAGTTATGAGAGTTGGGAAAGGAAAATAGGCCACTCCAACACTGTAATAGAAGTGTTTATAGCAGTACGGTTCAGGATAACATTTTTTTAAGTGCACAAATCAAATGTTCCCAGTTCATGTGTTATATGTAGTTGCATATTGCTGATTCAGGACACTTTGAATAATATCTGAAAAATATTATTATAAGATGAAATTAAGTTATTTTTAAAAATCAAAGCCTGCATGTTATGATAACACTGGAAGCTGTTCCACAGACCAAGAACTCAACTTTGGAAGCTGCATTCAAGTACAAATGAGGCCATGCTACTGTTTCCTACTGCATGGAGTACCCCACTTTGAGAGATGCTCTTAACCCCCCTATACTGTCAGAGGTGCTGTTGGTGTTAAGCAAACACTATGCTCTAAATCCACTCTAGAACATAAAATGGGTGAATTGTAGGGCATAACAAGGTCAGACACAGAACTGCTTCACAATGCAGTAGTTATGTGGAATACAGAGTGGCCAGCAATAGTGTAAAGCAATACACTCTGCATAAAAGGAGATCAATGAAGGATGTCTCCAATTCTAATACTGCAGGGGCAATATTGCATTAGAACTAGTTTAAATGATTTTTTCAACTCCCCTTCCATTCACACCTGCTTTGAAATAGTTTAAAATTTTCACTAATGGACAACTGCAGTTATCTTACAAGTTGGCCTTTCTATGCTATTGATAAAATTATTTTTCATAAGACATTGCCAGCTATGAATAATGCAAGCCATTTTTTGCAGAGATATATTCAGTGACAAATTTCTATGTTAGTGTGCTTTACTGTTCAATTCATGGAATTTTGTTCCAGACATAGTGAAAACAATAATAAACAGAATTTATGCAAAAATCACAACCTTTTCAAAACAAAATTGGAACATTAAAACTGTACTATAATGAAATAGTGATAGAAGAGATATAGCTTAAAGTTGGAGTGATTTGGCAAATTAATATTCCTGATCAGACAGGGCAGAAAATTAATGATCTAGTAGCAGTGTTAATGATTGACTCTATCATCACTAATTTCTGTCACTGACCAGAAAGACATCAGGAATGGTTATAAATGTACACTTGGCCTGCACTTTATGGCCAGCACACACACTACTGATCCTGTCTTTCCAATCAGCAGTAGGAACATCAATGTTACAGATGTAAGTTCCACTTTGGACTTCTTCATTATGGGGATAAACAAAATATAAAAAACATACATTGGATATACCAAATAGATACATGAAATGGAATTAGTGACTGAGATCATAACAGTAATCTAGAGTAATGCATTAATGCAAAGAAAATTGGTGCGGTTCCTGTTATGTCTTTCAGATCACCAAACAATGGAATTGAGATGGAGGTGGAGATTGCAGATAGTTCAATAAAATATGCAAAAATAAGGTAATAACAGTATTTTTTAACGATTCCAAGGTAGACAGGAATAAAGGTAATGTATACAGTCAAAGTGGTTAATGCTTTTTAACATGCATTCAGAATTCCTTCCTGGACTAATTCCATGTGCAATGACAGAAAGCGATTATCAAGAGTAAACTTGAGAGATAGCTATACAACTTGAACAAACAACAGTTAAGATGCCTTTAGATTAAAAAGATCTCTTGTGATTTATGTTTCAGTGACCAACCACCATGTTAACTAACCAAAAAATAAAAGAATTAAATATATGGTATATCAAGTCAATTCATTCTGCAATCTAACTGATGATAACTGACAGTTAACTGGTACATCTTGTATGGCAACATCTTTCCCAATTAGAATTCACTTGCCAACCAATCAGCACTCTTTTCTCATTCCCTTTACATTGGTATTCTAGCAAATATCCTGATGGGTGCAAGATGAAAAACCTTTATAAAAAGTCCTTCTTCAGCAATACTCAAGTTTTGTACTACCAAACAAAAAGTCATTATCAAAATAAGTCAGATGTTCAACATAAACAAGTTGTATTTTGCTCCTAACTTGAGGAATAAATTCTCAGTAAACCGCCTAAGGACATCAGGTTTATGTCATCAGTTCGAGTACTGCCTTCATTTGAGCACAACAAACTAAATAAAAAGATGTTTAGACAGCTGTTGCAATGACACTGGAGGCTACATCTGTGTGACATTTACCAGAATCAGCAAGTTATCAAACACAAATAATACCACCCACTGGATTTGTCTTCATTTAATGTTAATGTGCACACATTAATATTCTTAAAATGCTTTGTTTCTGATGGTTTTCTAAATTGAAAAGATACTTTTTTAAGCACCTTGTACTCAAGCAATACCTTTTTAAAAGAATATGCTGTTGAAATTCAAATAATTTAAAAAAACTAATAATGAACTTTCACTGTCATACACAATAGAACCATGATTTATTTTGCAGTATACTCTAAGCAAATGGGTTCTATCTGGTCCAAATAACAATAGTTATTAGGCTAGATTTTGTCATCAATGGCAAAGTAACAGCATTCACTGCTGTCTTCGAAAAAAGTTGCCTACAAGGATCTAGCAATTTCAATGACACTGGTTATCCCTTTCTTGATGTGAGTTTGAATTTGACACAAGGGAATCTCCAGGCGCCCATCAACAAGGATATCATCAACTGGAATAAGCAACCAATTAGATTGAAGGATTCTCACAGATTGCAAATCACAAAGTAAAAATCATTGAATCCATTCACTTCAAATTATAATTTTTACAGATATAAAAATTAATGATTGGAACACTTTATAGATTAAAAGTTACAAATTATAGACTATATATTAATAAACTTGTAGAATAGGCAAATAATTGGCAAATGAAGTTCCACACAGATGAATGTGAGCAAGTACATTTTGGTAGAAAGACCAATGAGATCACTTATTACTTGGAAGATGCAAGTCTGAACGGGGTAGAGTAACAAAAGAAATCCCTGAGCACAAATACTGTAATCACGAAACGTTGTTTCACAAGTTAGCAAGGCCATATAAAAAGCACATCAAGTGCAAGCTTTTTTTTATTTCTAGAGGAATAAAATTGAACAGTAGGGAAATTATGCTGAAACCATGTTGAATCTTAGCTCGACCCTCCATTTAGAACACTGTGGTTCTAGCATCATACTACAAAAAGGATACACAAGCATTAGAAAGAGTGCAGAGCTGATATAAAGGAATAATACCAGAAACACATGAGTATACATATCAGGAAAGGCTCGACAGGCTGGATTCTTTCTCTCTTGAGACAAGATCTCTGAGCAGTGACCTAACAGAGCTTTTTAAAGTATCAGAAGTTTTGTTGGAGGAAACACGTAGAGAATGCTTCCTCTTGTGGGGAAGAGCATAACCAGAGGCATCAATACAAGATCATCTCTAAGGAAGTCAATAGGAAATTCAGAAAAAACTTCAGCCAAATTAGGGGCAAAAATGTGAAATTTGCAACTGCAGTGAGCAGCTGATGTGAAAAATTAGACAGATATATGAGGAAGAAAGGAATAGATTGCTACAATGATACATTTTCATGAGAAAATTTGGAAGGAAGTTCAAGTGGAACAGAAACTTTGGTACAGATTGGTTGGGCCAAACAGCCAGTTGTTGTGCGAAATACTCCATGTAATCCTACATAATTACGATAACAATATCCACATCATTAAAACAAAGATCTTTTCTGTAACATTATAATGAAATGTATGCCAAGAATACACACACAGGTATTCATTGGCAACAATCTTCAGCAGCAACAACTGCAAATTTAATACTATTTTCAATGTTAGGGTATGTAAGCTGTAAAGAAAGTTGGATGAAAATAAAATAAATCTGCATTTTGGATTCTAATACCTCGCAGAATGTTCTGCCCCATTTACTAAAAGTCTGTGGGTGTAGAATCACCCTGTTCAATAACACAGACCCAAGGCGGAAACTCATAACCGAGTAGACATCATCTTCTAAATGAGGGCACCCTGTCTTGACGACATGAGCTGTAAACTTTCTGAAGTGACTGACCCAATAATGGCAGGTTTCTCTGCATTTGTTAGAGTTCTAAATTCTGATCACCAGTCTTAATTAAAATGAAAAGTGGCAAATCATTTTCACTCTGGGGAAGAACAGTCTACAAACCTCCATGTCAGTTCCACAGACACTGTGTAAATAACAAAATGATTTGCACTATTCTGTCGTGGGTGTATATAAAGAAAAAATACCACTAAAATGTTTTAATAAAAAGAAGTTGCCTTGCTAATATTGCAGTAGAATGTTGTGCAGTTGTCATATTCATCCTGTCAATTAGGTTAGCTCATTTTGCCACTTGGGGACAATGCCAATCATAACTAAACCAGCAAATCTGTTCATCATGAAGATCTGTCAACAATTAGGTATTGAAAATTAGACCAGATTCAAATTAGGTTGGTGATTAGGTTCATATCTTTGAACAGAAATGTTCATCTCACTGCTGACCTTTTCAGCTAATCATTCTTGTGTCTGTGCTTTGTTGTTTCCAAAGTTAAAACTTTTCAATTGGATTGAGAACTTTCAGAATCATAAACATTGTATGAAAAATGGAACATAAATTATACTGGAGTAAAAATGGGTAAAAACAAAAAAATAGGTAAATCAGAAATTGAAGTGGAATTTAATGCCCTCTCAAGGTGACTGTGGAGGGACAGTGCTTTTATTCAGGCTAGAGAGGGTGTGGGGTCAGACCACTCATCTTCCAGCATCTGGCCTGAACAATTCCAGGTTGGGAACGTTTATCCTTTCCATCTCAGTCAATTGAGGCCCCCAAAGAGAAAAGTTTATGCACACTTCAGGACCTCACTCTACAGTTGGCATTCAAGCAGTGGTATGGTAGGGCTCTTCTGGTGTAATGATAGTGTCCCTATCTCTGAG